AAAAAAAAAAAAAAAAAAAACCACGTTTGCGTGAAAATAAAATCACAACAATAAGCCCCTTAAAGTAAAATAATTTAAAGAAAAAAAAAAGAAATCCAAGGAAAGCAATCGCACAAAAAAGGGAAAATTACCTTAGCATCTACACTCCTATTGTAATTATTATGTGTGGACAATCACCCCTTTAATATCTCTTTTTCGTGAGGGACGGAAAAGATATTCTTACAAATTACGAATACCCAAACTGTGTTCGCATAAAATAATTAAAAAAAAAATGTAAAATCGGAATAAAACTACATACCATTTTGCGCATTCGAATGGTGTTTTTCTCTGTCGATGAAAAAAAAAAAAGAGGCAACTTTGGCAAAGGATAGGATACATAACGAGTAAAAGTACATGCGAATTCAAACGAATGAATACATGTTTAAGACAATCACAAAGAAAAGTAACTTTTTAAAAGGAACAAGCAAATCCACAAAAATGAAACTTGCTCTGGCATAACGTCGTATAAAACGCAGAAAGACGGACGCGCGATAATTTTTGACGCACTCCACGACGGTCGAATCAGAGGTACCAAACAACAACAGCTTAATCAAAAAAGCGCATTCACAAAAAAAGGGGGTGTCAAACGTGAAGGCGCATATTTTGCATCTTAACGAAAAAACAATTGCACATTGGAAACAAATTTCAGTATAACTTCCCGTTGACTTGAAAAAAAGTGTGCTCATATATGTATATATATATGCATGTACATGTGTACAGTTTGCGCAAAAAACAAGTTAGCAACGAAACGTCGCAAACAAATTAGGCTATTTCGAACGCTGTCGGCCCCTTCAACTTGTTATATATAAGGCAAAGGGTCACCAAATGAACACCATGGCATAACAAACGGGGTAAAACTGTTACGTACACTTAAAAGCTATTGCAGCGTTGGAATGGCTAAACATAGATATAAATTTGTGTGATAAATTTGCATGATGGTGTAGTGTATGCACAGGTGTGTGTGTAATAATATACATATAAACGCTTTTTCAATACAGCGCGCTGAGCATATCTATCGAATGATTAAAGCAAAAAAAATAAGGGCATAACATGATTTTATGAGCTTTACGCGAATAAGGCGCCAAACCGCTGCAAAGATTCGCAGAAAATATTTGAATTAAATTTAATTAAATTAAAAATGACCTTTCATATCCTTTTAAAGCGAACTAATACTGTCTCTTGAGACTGACCACTTTTTTTTTTTTTTTTTTTTTTTTTTTCAAATGTTCAAAAAGGACTCATTTATGTACACAAAAAAGTGAACATTTTTATTTGGAAGAATATGCTATAGGGCGTCAAAAAAAAAAAAAAAAAAAAAGGATATTTCCATCTTACAAGTTTTATATTGCTTAAAATTTCCTTTTTGGACAAATGTTAGACAAGGAAAAAAGTGCGAAAGTTCATCGCTTCCTCGTCATTTAACACTTCCCAATTTTTAAAAAAAAAAAACGAATTCGTGGTACGCATAAAAATGAGTGAAATAAAGAAAAAAAAAAAAAAAAAAAAAACAGCTAAAAGTGGGCTCAAACGAAGCGCTATAAAGGAACGAGAGTTGAACAAAAAAAGGGGGGGCAAAATTACATGCATTCGGGTAAAGCCACATCAGACGCAAGCAGAAAAATGGTACGTATGGCCCTCCGGACAAGGATAAAAAATGGAAAGCCTCTTCAGGGGGTATTTTTTCCCCCCACTCTTAAGAAAGGCCATCCAGGGAAACGCAAAAAAGTTACCACACGTGTGTATGCGCGTGAAAGTATGCATTAGGGGCATGCGCGGACACGAGAACGCGCAAATTGTAGAACATGTCTGCTGGCACTTCTCCGCGGACGCATTTCCACCGCTATAATTCAGCCTACACTCCCTAATCCTTCGAACAGACCAGAGACGTACCGCGCAACTTCCATATAGATGGGTCCACGTCCGTCTTCAAGTGGATTCGGAAAATAAAGTACTTGTCCGTGCGCACATTGTACTTGTACACGGGGCAGTTATAAAACATATGTTTGTTGTTTTCGATAAACTTCACCTTCTTGTCCTTGTTGGACACGACGGTGATATGAATAACGGGCATGTTCTCGCATAGCACCTTAGGGGAACTCTCCTCCAGTTTTCCCTCTTGCCAGTTCCACTTGGACCCTTCAATGAATAAACCATGAATGTGAAATCCGTGCTCAGGGACTTCCTTAATCTTCTCAATATCGTGATTTTTAATATCAGCATATAGCACCACTTCGTCCAGAGAAATTTGGTCCTTCTTATTTAAACGAGTAATCTCTTGTTTCATACTGGTTAGGAACCCTTGAGGGTTAAAAAACCCAGGTAGCCAATAAGACTTCAGCTTCCCATTATGAATATAATTCATAATTTGCTCATATCTTAAATTCAGAATATTTAACCACTGATTTAGGTTGTGACATACCCATGAAATTTCTGTTTCACTAGCATCATAGATCCACTTCTTTGGTACCGACTGGGAGTAAATATATTTCGTATCATTTTGTAAATCAGCTGTCATTATTTTGGAGCCATCGATTGCACTGATAATGTCGTTTAAATTTGTTTTAACCAAATCGATGACTTTTTTAATTCTTTCAATTTCTTGTAAGAAGAAAACTTGTAATGGCGAAAAATTATATTGCACATTTTTTTCCCCTTCATTGTTACTTTCCCAGTAGGACACTCCCACACTATCGTACACATCATTCTCTTTCGATATCCAAAGGGCATTCTTGTTTGTATTGTCAGACGCTGAAGCTGCATATTTAGTAGCATTAGCTGTATGACTCAGAGGGTTGTTTCCTATTGCACTTCTTTGTAGCATATTTTCGTTCATATCTGAATTTTCCTTGTTTTTCCCTTTATAAAAGCTGCTCTCCAAATTTGAAAAATTTTTAGTAGTTGCATTCAAATTGGTTGTTGCATTTATCGGTTGGTTTGTCTGAATGGTTAACTGCTGATTTTTGTTCTTTCTGTAAATAATTTTTTTTATTTCTTCCAAGTTTATTTCCGCTGGTAAGATTAGCAAGATACCCTCGGCGATTTCCTTCACCACCGTTTCCATGCTCTTCTCCTCCCCTTGATCCACATCCCTCGGCTGAATTTCCAAAATGGAATTTAAAACCTGCCTTGACTCATTCACACGGTACGTTATTTCTGCGTTGTTGTGAAGGTCTAGAACAGAGGGGGTATCAATATTCGGCAGTTTCTCGATAAAATGCTGGAAGTTTGTAATTTCGTAAAATTTGGGCATATTGTAAAAATTTTCCAGACCTGTTTCATTTTTCATTTTGAACAAGTCTTCATTAAAATAATGTTGCACGTAGGTTAGGAGTAATTCCCTGTCCAAGTCATCTGTTACCTTCCCTCCGTATTGCACTTCTGCCAACATGTAATGAATAGATTCCCAGTCTATGGGTCGGTTCACTAGCAGAGTAGAATAGAGATGCTTTTCAATAAACAGAAAAGAAGCAAACAAATCTGTGATGCTAAATTCGTACGGGACACACCATCCCATTGGCCCAAACTTCTTTCTTTCGCATAAAACGCAGTGAAGGTACGATAAGGAATATATAATTTTCCTATACTTTTCATCGTCTATTTTTTCCAATATATCTTCCTTTACAATATCCTTATATATTTTCCTCATGTTATTTTTTATACCACTACTCAGCGATGTAGATATTTTAATACTTCCGTGCAGGATGCAAATAGGAAATTCATCATCTGGCTCGGATGTTAGAAATAATCGGAAGTCTTCCTCAATATCGTTCAACTTTTTTAGCATATTATAAACTTCGATGATGAAATTTTTATTTAAATGGCAGTTTTGTAAAATTAGCCAGTTTCCACTGATGAGTGCATTTTTTAACTTTTCCTTTGCAATTATTTCTTGTCCTTCTCCCATGGAAATTTTGTCCGTAGGATATTTCTTAAACTTCTTTGCGAAATCGTCTATCATGTTCGTGGGATCGCTAGCCAAGGATAACAAAAATAAAAAGGGCTTCCTATTACTGGATTCAGCAAATATATTTTCTAGAGTCTCATGTTTTATGGTGTCACTATTTCTGTTTAGCACTTCGTCCACAAATTTATTTGCACACAGAATGGTCCTGTCTTCCCTCAGGCAACGAATAAGGCAGAGCTTAATAAATGAGCTTATTTTGCTATTCACATCTAACCTTTCGTTATAGTATGGAATATTTTTATTTTCTATATCTAGCACATCATAATAATTCTTCCATATGTTTTCGTTCAGCTGCACTACATTCACGATATCATAAAAGAAGCGATTGTTTTTGTCATTACCAAAGGAGTGGTTCGATAGAGAAATAATATTTTTATATAATTTTTCATTCTTTAATAACCACTTGGTGGAACTTATTTTGTTCTTTCCCCCCTTTCTTGAAGCCTCCATTTTGTTCTTATTCGCGCACTTGTCTGTGCTAGGAATACCTGCGCTGTTTCCACTACCAATGTTACAATCCCCTGCAGTAGTACCATTTACCGCACCACTGTTTCCACTTGCGCTTTTGTCACTTTTATCATTATCGATTCCTCTTCCCTTATCGCTTGAGCTCAGATAAACATCCGAGGTTCCGTCCATGACACCACTGGCGGCGTTCTCCTTCTTTTTCCCCTTCGCCGCATCCGCATTTTCTCCCAGCAAATTATTACTTAGAAGTTCGCTACTAATATCATTCGAAGGACTGTAATGCGAAAGGGGATTTAGGAAAAAGCTAATGTCCTTATTACTAATGACATTATCGTAAAGGAGAATCTTCAAAGATATTAACAATTTAAAGATAATTTTATGCTGATCAAATAGACACCTTTCCATGTAACAAATTATCAGATTGGTTAGAGTAGACAGGATGGATTCAACTCTTTTCTTAATGTGCTGTCCCTTCTCCGCTCTCTTTATAGATAAGTCAAACTGCTCCAGAAATTGATGCAATGATGTGTTATATATATAATTCACATTGGTAATGTCGACGATGCAGAAGTATAGGATACTTCCCCTCAATGCCACACTCCTATATTGCTCTCTCTTCTCATTAATTTCTTTCTTCTTCTCATTACTATCCTTTAATTTCGTTTCTAGCTCTTTGGATAGCAACTTGGTGTTGTTCAAAACTTCTATTAATTCCTCGTCTTCTATCAGATTGGAGCTACTTGTGTTCAGCTTGTACAACAGCTGCTTATCAAGGTCCTGCAACGATTTCGTGTTATCCTTAAGTTCTATCATAATATTTTTTAACGACACTTCCAAATGTTTTTGTTCTTCAGTTAAAACCCTACCCAACAACTGATCTTCCAACCCCTTAACCGTAACGGTAAAATCAATAACACAACATTTGGCATAAATTTCTGGGCTATAATTAGGGTTGGGCAAATTGGTAGTCATGAATAGGTTAAAGTTCTCGTCAAAATTTATTAAGTTGTTTTCTATTAGTATGTAATTTTTTTTTCCCTTTTTAATGATTTGCTTCTCCAGGACAGAGTCCAATATAGGATCGATATACTCTTCAACATTTTCTATAAGTAATGTTTTTCCCTCACTAAGACAGAATTCCAAATTGTCCTTAAACTTGCTACTGTTAAATGTAGTAATACATCTATGATTGGATAAATCGTTTTGAAATTCCTTATTCTTTATCCAGTTGCTGGCTTGGCACTGAGGATCGATTAGAAGGACGTACTTGTTGCTGTTTTCGCTAATCAGCGCATTCTCAATGCTAAGTCTATCATTAGGTAATTTCTGAACACTCCAGTCGCAAATTTTGGTGTCATCTGAGGACAGCACATATTTTATCACATCGATGTTGTCCGACACGGGGATGTTTTTTATATTTTTCGTGTAGTGATAGAAAACTTCATTCATCAAATAATTTCTGAACTCTGTGTTGAACATACCGCAGTACGAAATGAAGGAAGCGCAGATAAATACATCTCCAACGATTTTCTTTTTGATGTTGGAAAAGTTGTTAGAATCTTCTGTCCATCTTGCCTTTTCGCTACCCAAGCCGTTAATTAATTTGTTGGCTTGTTCAATTCTTTGTTTCGTTTTCAAAGCTGTTTCTTCTAGAGTTTTTTTTTTCTTAAACATATTTTCAATATCTAATTTCAGATTGTCAACAAATAGTTGCGCTTTTAGCAGCGAGTCTTCCGCTGCTGCTAGCTGTTTCAGAGCATCTTCCAGTCTCCCTGTTTGTATCTTCAAGTAACTCATCTTCGGTTTTACAATTTTGGATGCTTGGTTATACATAGCCATGGCTCCAACCCATTTGCACAGTCCCTCTGCAGCCACGGAAGCCTTCTTTGCAATTTGTGTCTTGAAAAAAGAAGACTCAATGTACGGTTTTAACAACTCAATAGTTTCTTCATTAATATTATCCTTTTCATTTTTAGAAAAATCAAACAAAAGATTTAAGAAACGAATGTCAGCCATTAAAGGCTTGGCATATTCGTCAAAAGAATCTTGGATAAACTCTACATGTTGTTTATTTACATACTTTACACTAATTTTGGGTTCCTTTAACTTCCCCTGCAGTAATATCAACACCCCATCAAAAACGATGCGAATGATATCCGATGGCGTTTTCATACTCTTCAATTCGGTTATATCCTTGGCAGTGATACTTTTGATGGCTTCCTCCGCTTCATGCAAATATGGCAATGCTGCTTTTAGATCCTTATCTGCCTCCTCTTGTTCCTTCAAAATAATGTCCTTTTCCTTTATGCACTTATCTCTAAATTTGGACACTTCGATGCTTTGTTTTTCTGCCTTCAGAGATTCCTTCTTTACCTTTTCTAAAAGCACATTGGTTTGCTCATCTGACTCTTTTAATTTTTCTTCCTCATTTGTCAGACTTTCTCTCATTTTCTGAACATCCATGGCTGCCTCGTTCAGTTTTTTTAACCCTATATCTACACTTTCTTTCAAAATTTGAATTTCTTCATACTTTTTTACGTACATTTGTTTATACAAATCTATGAAGGATAAATAGGATTTGGGCGTCACGTATGTATTTCTCCTCATTCTCTCTTTGTATGTTTCACACGTATCTGATACTTTCTTATGGACAATAGCAAATAGGTTGAAAAAGTCATCTCTGAGTTTCTCCTCAATGTCGATGTTGAAATTGTTAAGGTATGCTGTTGACACATTTACAAGGGCTTCTAGGGGCCATTTTAAAAACCAGTTTATGGTGACACAATTGTATATGCATGGAAATTGTTGGTACCGTAAAGCAAACTCTTTGTGGATAGGAGAGAAGCACAAAAAGATATGAAGATTGTTTCTAAAATTGTCTAACAAATAATCAAAAATGACATTTGACGATACGTTAAAATCGTTTATTACTTTTTCGTCTTTTTTCTTCCTAGTGTCTTTCTCATTGCTCATATAATCGCTGTCGTTGTCGTCACTGCTCCTCGAGGATGTGTCACTTCTAAACTGTGAATCTTTGGAGTCCTCTTCCATATCCATGTCATCCATATTGTAGTCATTCTTTTTATTTTTTGTCTTTCCTCCCGCACCTCTCATTTTGGACCACTGGTTCAGTTTGTTCATTTCTTTCAAATAAGACTCCTTCATTTCAGCGCATATGGCCTCCTTCTCATCCTTAATAAACAGTCCATATACCAGCCCAGTGGACAGAATCGAATTCACATGCTCCAGTATGAAGTCGTTCTTCTCTATATCGCTATCGCTTAACAGAAACGTTGTCTTCTTGTTCATTTGTCCCGCAGATATATACAAACTTTTTAGGTCCTCAAAAAATAAATTTTTCGTATACGTCTTGGTTATATTTAACTGAAAAAGCACTTGTTCGCTGATAAAAACGCTAAGTTTGGTTAGTGACCTTTTGCCAGACCCACCGACACCTACCAGCATGCTAGACCCCATGGGTGTTTCCATAACTCGGTTAATGATAAGCAAATGTTTTAGCGAGTCATCAAAGAATACTAAATCTAGCTTTTTCACATTGTTCATATTGTACTCCTTCATATATTCGTATGCAATATATCTTAGCCTTTCAAAGTCTGCAACAATTTTGTAGTCTTTTTTCATCCAAGAGAAGGAAAAGTTGTTGAGATTTTCTTCTGCGTCGTTTTCCGCTTTTACCATTTCTACATTAGGATTATTCCTGGCAGATGCGGAGGGACTTCCCCTTTGTATCCTATTCGTGTCAATCATGTTTAAGTTGTTACTCTGTCCATCGTTTATATTTTCCTTATTTAAGAACCTAGATGGGCTGTTGCTTACTCTCCCTTTTGAAGCAACCCCTGTGGCGCTACCATTCGAGCCATTTGCACCTCCAATCGGACTGTCTCCTTTGACCTTTTTCGTCTGGTCCACAGTTTCAATAAGGTCATTTTCGATCATGTACTCAGTCTGCTCCTTTTCTGACACGTAGAAATAGCTAAAGTATATGCTCTTCTCCGCTACTTCCTTGTGAGATGGGTAGTACATCTTAAACACTTGCTTCAGTTGATCTAGAGAGAAGTTTTTATCTTCCATTCGAGAAAGCTTATCAATTAGGACCCTCTCACACTCGTGCTTCCACAAGCATAAGAAATTGTGCAAGTTGTTATCTATAGTTTCAAAAGGGCATAGTAACATGGAGTAAAATATTTTGGCCAAATCTCTCGTTGTATATAAATAATGAAAACGAGAAGGAACTGGCAAAAGATGCTTTTTCAATCTGCTAAACAAGTTAATGGTGCACAAAATTATTTTGTCTATATTATCTACAATGTCGTCGGAGAAGCTCTTCTTCTTATTAAATTTGGTTCTCAACACAGTGCCATAAATTGTGTTTATCGAATTCAAATTGTAAGGAGGTATATTTACGTTGAACCATTTCGACTTTAGCCTTTTTGGAATGTCGTTGTTTCCACACCCTGGGTGGTTAATGCACCCTATGTACTCTAAGTCAATTATTTTTTTAAAGTTTCCCCTTTTATCTTTATCTAAAAAGTAAAATCCCTGAAATTCGATTAGCTGTCTCAACAGCTCCAAGGTGCTTTGATCTCCCCATTCATTAATCTTAGGCATAGACATATCGTCTATGAAGATAATAGATTTTGTATTTCCGATTGGCCCATACGTCTTTCCACTTTTCCTTTCCAGTTCTGATTCGATAAAGAGTTGAAATTTCTCCGGAGTCGTCACACTTGAAAAATTGAACCTCTTGGTGTTCTTGTCCTGCTTAGATGTATACAACAATGCTATGGATGTCTTTGCAGAACCGGTAGAGCCCAACAGCAGTGTGCTTTTGTACGTATGGAAATTGTGGCACTTAATAGGTATATTAGAAATTAATTTTATTATATGTTCTACTTTGCTCGTTTCTATGGTTGGTATCAATATTGATGAAATGGAGTTCATATTCTTTGGCATTTTAAAAGGGGCTACATTCCACTTGGTCAACTTCCTTAGCTTCATGTCAAAGTAGTAGTCATAAATAAGGCATGTTTCTTTTTCGAATTCGTCCTCTGCATCATTCTTGTCGTTTCCTGGAGGGACTTTTTCGCCACCTCCCATTTTGGAATCCACGTTTTTCCTTCCATGGTTCGAATTATCTCCTTCCTTTAAAAGAACTTTAACAAATGGCACGTTTTTTACTAAAAAGTTGTGCACCTTTAGTCTGTCTCTGTGTTCCAGCAAACCACACAATCCCCACAATACGGCGTACAGCATTATTTGTTCGCACTCTTCTGCTTTGACCTGTTCGTATTTGGTTCCAGATGTTAAGCTGAAATTGTTCACGGTGTCCATCTTGTCATCATCTTCTTCTTCCTCTTCCTCCTCGTTCGCGTCCTTTGCTCCTCCTACAGCCAACACTGCGGTAGTGATGGATAGACCATTTTTGCTTAATTCGTCGCCATTTCCGCCATCTTCCCCTCCTTTCTTGTCCTTTCCAGGCAAGTCCTGCTTAGCACCTCCAACATTTACGAGCTGCCCCTTGGAGTTCTCCTTAGATGCGCTTCCTCCCCTTGCGTCGCCAATTTTTGTACCAATTTTACTCTTATCGCTAGTCATAGATACCATTTCCTTTCCTTTCAGCATCTCCGCTTCCTTGCCTTTTTTTCCTTTCATAGCGGAAGAGGACAACACAACATTACTGTCAGTCTTCTCATGGAGAGCAGTCGCCCCATCGGATCCCTCCACATGGTGCTTCTTCTCAAACTTATCACTATGGTGTAGCAATTTCTTCTCATTGGAGTCGCAAAAAAATATCTTGTTCAAATCTTCCTCATTGTACATAAAGTTATTAATGGCATTCACATATTGAATCAGCTGCGTATTCAACAAATTGATGGTCTGAGAAATTAAAATCGAGTCGGTGACTTCCATCACAAATTTGCAGTTCTCCTTGACGAAATTTAAAACTTGAATTTTGTCCAAATAAAAAATAAACAGTTTGTTAAAAATGGGGAATAAAGTAGCTCCATAGGTATGCACATCCTTCAATTTTTGCAACCAGCTATAAATGAATGGCTTATAACCCAAATCGCTGTCCGATATGTAGACAATACCAGCCCTACTAACAGTGGCGGGAGAAGCATTATTCAAATTTTCCACCTCGAAGGCTATCTTAGTATTGTCAGTCATAGGAATTCTATCATTATTAGCTAAAGTTAATATCTTATTGTCATCCAAAACTGTGTTTAAGTTTTCGATCCAAATAGCGTCCACGGGTCCATCACACACAATCCAAGTATTGTACTTCAAATTATTGTTGTTATATTTTTCCCATATATTTGCGAAAATACCTGGAGTCCATTCTTCACTCAAATTATCCTTCACCCCGTACATATGCTCAGACGTTATAGCCTTAGGGTTTAGTGTAATAATTTTTGTCACATTTCCTATATTACTTAGTGCAGAAGTCAATATGTTTAATATTTCTGTCTTTCCTGTGAGGGTATTTCCTACTAACATGAACCCATGACGAACTAGCGAAGTTTCGTAGAGCTGTAATATTTTCAAAATCCACTTACTCTTTGCGCACAGCTTTTTTTTATTAATAATTTGGTGCACATTTTCTTCAATCAATTGGTAACTCTTCTTTGTGATGTTGTGAAATTTTGGAAAAACATCATTCAGTAGAGACAAAAATAACAACACGTCGTCGTAAATTAACTTGGACAAATTCATATCCCTTAAGGTTCTCATTAAAAGCATTTCTTCATCGTTTTCATTCGCCCCTGCAGCTCTTTTCGTATCTCCAGCGGTACGCAGGACAGATAATATATTCCTCAACCCAAAATCGTAGTGCTTCTGCTTCGACAGCTGCTCTTCACACAAACCGTACAGAGACTTAAATTTGTTGCTCAAATTGTCTATATCTAAATACCCCACAGATGCTAACTTTACCTTTATAATAATTTGCCTATCTGGTACCATCATCGAAATGAACCGAAAAAATATTTTTAAATTCTCTGGCAACAATTGTCTTCCAGCATACCCTGGATTCATAGTGATAAAATAAGCGGAGGATGGATTCAAATTAATCGCTTTGGAGTCACCTGGAAAGAGAAAAGATTTTAAGGACTGCTTCTTCGCCGTTACGATGGACTCGATCTGCATAGCCACCACAGACAAAACGTCCAAATTAATTCTGTTAAATTCGTCGAAGCATCCCCATAAACCACTTCTACACAACCCTTTAAATATTTTTGCCATATCTTTATACTTATGCTGATTAGAGCAGTTTGTCACAATGACGTAGATCCCTAACGTTCTTCCCAAATCCTTGACCGTTTCTGTTTTCCCGGTTCCAGCAGGTCCTGCTGGAGCACCACCATAGCATAGTCCTAGTGCCTGCGCGCAAGTCAAATAGCACCTATCCGTTAGCGGAGTTATACACAGCCTTTCCTTAATACCTAGATATTCATAAGAGTATACAAAATCGACATCCGAAATGCTAATCAAAATAACATTTTTCTCCACTTTGTAATAAATCCTCGTCTGTTTTAGCCAGTCAAAATCGGTGCATGTTTTTATTTTATATTCCTTTATCTTTGTTGAAATTTCGTTGAACAAATCTCTCTGGTGAACATGTATAGTAACCAGCGTTTCATATTTAGTTCTGTTCAGTTTGGTTCCCAAATCGGAAAGACATATGTTAACCAACTCTGACATTATATAATTGATTTTCTTGTTGGTTACTTTTAATATATTTTTCTCCGAATGATACTTATGGATACATTTTTCTATATCATTTGTCCACATGACTTGTAAGCATATGAGAGCAACCTGAGCAATGTTTTTGTCACAGAATTCTTTTAAATTCACTGTCTTGAATAGCTGCGCTGAACTGGCTACCCCTAGCTTGCACTCCTTTTTCACCGCCTTTTGCATTTCCTTTTCGAGCAATATTAACCAATTTTCTATATTCCCATCTATCGTTACATGGTTGACCAACTGCACCGTTTCAATATCATCCTTTTCTTTATTATTTATACAAATGATTCTTTTCTTGTTCTGTATGGTCTTTATAGTAAGGTAGTTTATAGCATCAAACAGTTTTATTAACTCGGATTGAATTATGTTAATGTCAGATCCTTGAGATAGTATTTTTAGTAACACCAGATTGGACACAAAGTAAAAACGGGGAAATTTGCTCCTCTTCCCTTCCAAGTACGATTCTAAAGACTTCTGACAGCTCTCCAAACCCTTCTGCATATTCGGCAACAATTCCTTTAGCATACTGCTTTGGCAACATTCTATAACGATGGAGGATTCGTTCGCAATGTTGATTATGTTAATCCAGTCTTTGTCAATTTGATGAAACCTCTTAGACTCGATTGGCATTTGTCTTGCTATGTCCCCACTGGTAAAAACGCTCTCCATGGAGCACCACAGCATCTGCACTTTTATCCATCGCTCCACAATATCACTACAGTCAGATAATTTATTCAATAACAATAGCAGTTTACTCTTAAATGGTTTGCTATACTTTGTCGAATTTATATTGTTTAGTAAAATTTGACTTTCTTCTAAACTCTCTTGTATTTCTGTCACTTTGCTTCCTACAAGAATGCACGCATAGTCCCTATTCTTCCATTTGCTAAATTGGAAACATGTTTCGTTCCATATTTTATACTGCTCGTTGATCTTTTCCTCAATGCTGGCCTCCTTCTCCGCGCTGTCGCATATGTCCAGAATATCATCCTTCTTTTGTAGCAAATTGTTATTTATTATATCTTTGATGAAAAAGTCCATGTTATCCAAGTCCAGCTTATTTAAATTGTCTATGTATTCCTCCTCGTCGACGCAGGCGCTTTCGATGAGCATGCCACCTTCAAGGCTTTTCTCCTTCGGGGGGGATTGGTCAGCACCTTCAGCGGCTTGCACACTTTCCCCATCGACACCCTCCACAATAGCCGTAACAGCCGCGTCTTCCGCCCCAGACACTGCCCCCTTATCATCGCAGCTGATCTTCTTCCCCTTCTTCTCCTTCGCCGTGCTCTCCTTCTTCTTCTCTTTCAGCACACCGACAATCTCCACCCAGTGGCGTTTCAAAATGGTCTTCTTCTCCAGCTCCTCCACAATGGGTGTGATCTCTTTAAAGTAAAAAATTTCCTTCACCAAGTTCTTGTAAATAACGATCATCTTTAAATTCTTGGGGAGCTGAGAGCACTTCTTCTCGAAAGACAGAATATCATTTTTCAACTCCTTCATTTTTACAATTCCCTCATTCCACTTTAAGTTTTTCCACTCGTTCAGCTTCTCCTTCAGTTGCACGTACAAATCGTACAGTGAGTAAAAATTATTTATCTCCGTTGTGCTCAAAAAAAGATCATCATGCTCTTGGTGCTTTAAACCGAATATGGACTCTCCCTTATAGTAGCTATTGTACTTTTTTTTTAGCATGGAGATTTCTTCCTTGTATCTCTTTAACAGTTCGAATGCATTCAGCGGCTTTATGTGTTCACTTTTGAAATTCATTTTTAGGAAATTCTGTCGAAACATTTTTATGTCTTCCTTAAAGTTATAAATGTTATTCATTAACTCATTTTTCATGATGCTTTTTTTCTCTTGTATTTCTTCTTCTACATTTCTTGTGAAACATATGAGCTCGTTAAACTTGTTCAAAATTACATTTTTTTTCTCCACCTCAGATTTGTACAAGGAGATAAATTTCTTTTTCATCACGTTTAGTTTGTTAAATGTTTGTAGGAGGTTCCTATTATAAGACTCGTCCATTTCGTACATCTCGCTCGAGGATTTCCTCTTATCAAGATTGCTAATAAATTTCTGTGGATAATTTTCTTCTTCATCGTAATGACCAGAATTCCTCATCGATTCTACATGTTTCTTCAAAAAATTGTTCATGTAAAATTCCAGCACGTCTATCATTTGGTTTATAGGATTTAGCGCAATATCTATGGTTGACTCGAAGACGTGTATTTTTTTTATAACATTGATGACGTAGTACAGGGAATCTACATCTACAATGTTTTTTTTAAGCTTTGTCTTATATTCACTCATTTTTTTTATGAGCATGTCGCTTTTTCTCTTAACCGGTTGTATGACTTTATTTGCACACTGTAGAGCTTCATTTTCAATTATATTTATCAGGTACATTTTGAAGCTCTCCAAGTTGAACTTGAAAATGTTAAGTGAGTAGTAGCTGTCTATATTGTTGATTTCCTTTTTTATGTTTATGAATTTTTTTATCTTTTCTTCTTCTTGGTATATTTTTATTTCGTCTTCTTCTTCCCTTTCCGTGTCGGATCCGCTGGTGGGGCTCTCCTCTTTCGTGTCATGTTCATTGTTGATGTGTTCTTCTCCCTTTGTGTTCGCATTTGTAGGATCTACTTCGTTTTCCCCATTTTTTGCGCTGAAATACAGCGCATTGCTCTCTTTGTCCTCTCCCGCTATCTGCAAGTTGGTAAAGTTTTCTCCACCTGGCACAATGTTGGGATGCTTGTCCTCGTTATGCGTATCCTTTACGGCCCCCTTTGATGCCTCCCTCGAAGCGTCCTTCAGTTTCTCCGACTCGAAATCGCGAATTATATATTTGTACTTGTCAAACTTGCTGATGAACTCGTCGACGATGCCCTGGAACACGCCCAGCTTTTCATTTAGCTTGACCAGCTCCTTTTCTATGTTCTTGTCTTCCCTGATTTTCTCATAAAAATCGAAATCGTGTTTCAAGTTGCGCACGCAGTTTTCTTTTTCCATATTAAGCTCCTCTGCGACATGTTTGAAGGACTCCTTTGCATTCTTCCTATTAAAGTAGGAATAGTCCAGGAGCTCCTCAAATGTGCTCTTCTGTTTGCACCCTGGACCCTCTTCATTGTGGCCTTTTTTTGCAGAAGACTTCCCCATTGCCCCACTGTCCTGCTCCTTCCCCGTAGAGGCACCACCACATTTCTGGGTTCCCCCCAGATCGTTAAGGAAAAACTGCTTTACTAAATCATCCCCACTTATCCAGTTGTCTATATAAATCAAATTGTTAATTGAAACGTTTATGATCTTTTTGATATTCTCCTTTATGCTACTAATGGAAGGGTTAATCACAATGTCATTTTCGTGAACGAGGAGCAAAATTTCAATTTCATTTATCTTCGCAACTTGGTTCTTCTGTTTTGTTCTATCCTCTTCCAAATTAGACCATGTATTAATAAGGCTCTTGATATTTTTTAGGTAAATTTTCTTCAGCACACCCAAAAATATATCATAGTAAAATTTTCTCGTGTTCAAAATTTCTTCCTTTGTAATTTCAGTCTTCAGCTTATTTTCATAAACATATTGTATATTGCTGAGGAGGTCGAAAATGGCGATTTGTATTTTCTTGGATATGGAATTGCAGAGCATAATTTTATTGTGGAATTTTTTCTTGTGCTTGTTGATACCGAGTTTTTCATTCTTATGTTTCAGGATTCGATAGATTATCTTAGTGTTATAGTTAATATGGTCGTCAATAATATCGTACAAAGAGTTAATTGCATCTTCAAATTCTGTTAACTCTTTGTGCAAGTTCGTTATAGAATCTTCTAGTGCATAATTACTCCATGTGTATTTGACTAGAAAAGGGAGCAACAGTTGGTCAATGTAAATAAAAAAGCGCTTTAATGTAAACTCGATGTCTTTTTTTTTGTTATTTTTCATTTTCTTTATCAATATGAGTATGTTATGAAGTTTGTAGTAAAAGCTGTATATTTTGGATTCCTGCGAAATCATATTTTTTACTTCCTCTGGGATTTCGAAATTGAAAGACAGAAAAATTTTGGCCTCTCTTATTATTCTCTTTATTCTGTTGTCAAAATTTACTATCACATTTTTCGTCTTCGGGTGCTTCACAAATACGGTAACGTTTAGGCTGTTCACACTTTTTATAAAGCTCAGCCAATGTTTAAATAGCTTAATTTTGTACTCTTCGATGAACTTTGAGATTTTCAAGTATAATTTTAGTACCTCCTTGCCGTTGGCATTTTTGAACAGCACGTTTTTTATTTTTGTTTTCTCTTTTTCGAGTGTCCTCGCCATGGTTTCTGCGCTCGATAAAAACTCCTTTTTTCCTTCTTCCTCACCGTCTTTACCTTCCCCTTTGGCATTTCCTACACCAGTGCCTTTCGATACTAATCCGTCCTTCTTCCTTTCATGATCTTCCAACAACTTCGTAACTTGCTCGTTTATGCTGTAAAAAATGTCTGCACTGGTGCTGCCCCCATTTTCGTTATCCGCTATACGTAGAGCCCCATTGGCCGCATCACCCTCGACCGGACGAGCTTCTCTCCTCTTATCCATATTGGTCTTGCCCTTCATAGCGGACAAGTCGTTATTCAAATGAGGCAACTCGAAATAGGAAGACAGGTTATCCTTATCGACGAGTGTCGAATTATTTTCATCTAGAAAAATCTGAATGATATGATTGATCTTGTAGTTAATGCTGAGGATCCAAAAAATATTTTTCAAATAATTTAAGCTCTTACTAGAGTTTAAGCTACTTTTGTAATTTTCCAAGTCGTTATTTATACCATTTAGAATTTCTAAAAATTGCGACAACAGTATATCATATTTTGTATGTAGGAAATGGATCAAATAACCTCTTATGAAATGCTCCTTAAATTTGAAAAAGATAAAAAAGGAGAACATAATATTGGAACTGTTGTTCAACAAGCTGACGATGCTGTCTTGCAAGTCGCTCTCCAGTTCAGATATATATACGCGCAATTCTACAAAATCCCTATCGAAGTAGTTATCCGTGTAATTTAGCATATCTTCCGTGTGCTTCATTTTGAAATCCTTTATGTACTTATTGAACGAAGCAGTTATATTTTGTATGCTCTCAAATTTTACCCTTCTGAGAGACTTAAACTGTTTTATGCATAGGAACAAATCCACCAACTTTTTCAGACGCCTACAGAATATTTCTATCTTACAAAATATCACTTTGGTGTTCAAATCAATTGATTTATTTTTAGAATTCTCTTCGAAAAAAGTTTTTATACTTTCAAATTCTTCCTTGTACTTCTCATGTAATTTAAAGCATAACTCAAATTTGTCGATTAAATCATCTGGATCTAATAGCCATAGATTCTGTCTCCTCTTTAGTTGTTCTATTTTTCTACTTTCACTGTCCTTCTCATTTGAGTAATCCTGTTCTTCTGCTTCATTTAATTTGTTATCCACGTTTTCTTCCATGTCTTCATTATCCTGTTCGTCTTCAGATTCGTCACTCTGGTCATCCCATGCGCAAACTCCATTTTCATCATCCAGGTACCCCCGTTCGCTTTCTTCATTTGGATCTGTCCCATCGTAGTCTTCCTCTTGGTCATTCCCATCTTCTGGGTCCTTTGTAAAATTTGAATTTCCCCCTTTTTTCCCCCCTGAACCCTGCATTCTATTGTGTTCATCAGTGTGCCCCCCATTCTGATCGTCTTCATGGCCGTAATTATCACCCTCATCACGACCCCCGTTTTCCAAATTTTTATCTGACTTGGCATCGCCATATTCGCTTCCAACTGCTCTACCACCCTTCCTACCTCGTGTATTATTTGTGCCTCGCCTCTTCCGCTTCTTCTTTTTAGCGCAAAATATTTCCTCCTTGCATTTAATCACAAGCTGGTTGGTGATCTTAATGAACAGGTTGTTCAGCTTGTTGGGTGTATTGTAAAATCGAGCAACAAGGTAAATCATCTTAATAGAATTCAAAAGAGAAGGAAGATTATCAATAATATTCTCTACGTTGCATAGATAAAGGGAAAGGATAAACTGCTCGATGCTTTCCAAGTATTTAATGTTGTCCTTACTCTCATTGAACTCATTTTCAATCTTCGTCTCTAATTCCCTCCACTTGTTAAGTATGTCAAATGTGTACGTATATTTTTGCTCTTCATTATTTGCACTATTTATGTTTATGTTATTTATTATATTTTTAATTTCTTTGCTTCTCAGTTCTTCCATAATAAAAAGTAGATATCTATGTTTGTACCTCCAGTACTGAATCTCGATAAATGGTCCCACGTCTACATTTGATTTTTTGTACTCTTGAATTTTTTCTTGCATATCATTGAACAAGTTTTCTAAAATGTTTAAATATTTGGTCAAGTGTGCGGTTTCATTTTTTTTCTTCAGCATTTTATTTTCCGATTCGCTTGCTTCCAACCCATCGTTTGGCTCCACGCAAACCATTTCATGCTGGTCCTGCATCATCTTCAATTTCACCTTTTTTATATGTTCTAAAATAAGAATAAATTCATCCAGCTCCTTTACATACGTGTCAAATTCCATTCGAAACTTTTTCACTTCGTCTGTGCAAATATTTGCGTGTATCATTTTGTTATTTAAAAAGAGGGGGTAAATAACCTTGTTCAGCATCACCTTTAGGGTGTCTAAAATATTTGGAGACAAAATTCCATAGAGTATGCTCCTGTCGTCCTTCAGGTCGCCATTTAGGCACTTATAGAAATAAACAATTTTTTTATCAAATTTTATATTTTCCTCTTTTGCTACCATCATTTGGTTTTTTTCCACTCCGAAGAGCAGCAAATCATTTTTCTCCTTGCCCAGAAAATTGTCGACTACTTCCTTCCGTTCATCTGCGTTTCTCTCTAGCAAGTAGTCCACATTGTACTCTTCTTTATAAGCAAATTTCAGCTTGTTCAGAACCCATTTGTGCGCCCCGTACGTCTGTGACTCATCGCTTCGTCGCTCCATCCTGTTCGCCTTCTAGGAATGCCTGCATGCATGTGCAATATGTGTGATGCGCAAAAGTGTTGTGTCAAAATATAGGCTGCACACACGTGTGTGCTAACCCGTGGGGGGGAAAAACGTGTAGATGAGGCGCTACTCACGCGTACAGATTCCGATCATGCGAGAGGGGATTTCCAAAGCATACCGCATGTGCGTAGTTATCTCCGCCCCTCGCGCGCATGAGTAACCACCACCGCGTAAGTATTACCCTACACACTTTTTGTCCTACATGCAAGAAACGAGTAACGTTGCATGCGCTTCGTTTTAAGTGTTCATTTGGACTGTTTTTTTTTTTTTTTTTTTTCCCCACTAAAATAACATTTATGAGTTTGTACCTATTTTTTGTGCGGTTTTCTCTCTTTTCTGCTTAACATTAACAAGGTCGCATGTGCATGTGCGCGACAAAAGAGCCCCGCTTTCTCCCAGTCTGTAGGCTACACCAAATGGGAGGCTGCACTAATTAGAGTGCATTCGCAAAAAACGAATTACAGGTTTTCAAATTATAGCACATTCAGTGTGTTCCTATTCGCGCAAGCTTCATATGGTCCTTACGTGTACTTATATATGTAAATATAAAAATAGGCACAAAACTATATTTACATATGCATCTGTGTAGGTGTTATTATGTAAACAATATTGCGCATGCGTATGCGTGTACCTCTGCATGCACAGCAAGGCGTACATGATGTATGTACGTGCTTTACCTATCTGTGGACACATATGGTACAAACACAGCCATGTAGACGCTTTTACATAAACATATTTCATACACAAACTTTGCAAACACGTACACACACTGCCTACACGTGTCTTAGGAAAGACAAAAGTTTCGTTAATTCATGCCAAGTGTACACACTTTTTTTTTTTTTTTTTTTTTTTTTTTTTTAAATACTCTCTTTCGATTTTATTAAAGAAAAATGTAGATAATAATTTAAAATGCAATTAACGTGTTCAATTTTTACGAACGAAAAATTGACAATGCGGACACTAACACATCCACTTGCAAGCAGACAAAAAGGAGAAAAGGAGGAGAAAAAAAAAAAAAAAAAAAAATATTACATGTACAATTTTAAAAACGACAAAAATTAAAGCTTAATGCCAACTCCATAGGAATCGTCCAAGTGAACATATTCACAAAAAAAAAAAAAAAAAATTCATATATATGTGAAAACATATATAGCATTTTCTAGGGATAGGAAAAAAAAAAAAAAAAAAAAAAAGTAATACATCCCGCGCATGTGAAATGTTCCCCCCGGATTCTTTGCGTCTCCGTTTTTGTGCTGCGTGATCCCCCAGAAGGGGGACAATACACCTTGGCTGGTTCTCCGTGTACCTTGTGTGTTCGTTTCGCCCTCCGCTTTTAAGTTATTCTAACACTTACGATGGTATTACATATAATGGCTAGAGAGGGGCACTGAAAAAAAAAAAAATTCAAACGGGAATACACACATATTTGTACACAAATATATATATGTATACATAACCGTGCGCCGAGTGAGGCACGTCGAAAAAACAGCTGTGTGCGCGTCCTACAAATCAGTAATAATATAATTTGTTTCTAACGCTTGGTACATTTTTTTCATGAAAATCTGCGAACGTAAGGAAACGCTGCGCACAGCGCTCCTAGATTGGACAAGGCGGTTATATACACATGTAATACATCGCATACATCACGCGCGTCACATCTGTCATGTATATACCTTGCTATTCCTTCTGGAATTGCCCTCATTCTTCACCCTCGGGGATCACCTTCAATGACGCATTAGAATTAGAACCAGTTGCCTCAGAGGTAGATTCTTCAGGTGTTTCGTTAAGAGCAAACGTTGATTCGTAGAAATCGGCTCCTTTTTTAAGTTTCGAAGAATCCTTTGTTTTGAATTTTTTAAAGTGTTTTCCTATTTGTCCTAGTCTAAAATTTATGCCTTTGGACGCCGCTTTAGCAGGTTTGCCTTCGCTGGTATTATCTCCCGTCGAAGGAGGAGGCGTGGGGGTATGCCTAGAAACAGTTCCAACCTCTGCAGTACTCTGGTTTATAGTTCCTATATATTTATACAAATCTAATTCTAACTCCTTATTCCTATCCGCCAGATTTGCTTTTTCCTCATCTGGCACCATTTTCAAATACTCAACTGCTTTCTTCCCTTGGTCTGCATCAATTCCTTCCGAACCTCCCTCCAACTCTTCTTCTATAGACTCCAAGGAACCTTGGTCTGCCTCGAAAATGATATCTTCTTTTCTGAACCCAATTCCATCATTCGTGGTCTCTAAATCGACTGGCTCATCTGACATGTCCTCTACTGTCGCCTTCTGCTGAGCCTCTGCGCTGCTTAGGAATTCGTCGTAGGCGTACAGCACGTCGAAAACTGCAAAGGGGAGGAAAAAGGACAAGTGTGCACATAGGATTATAGGAAAGGGTTTATGTATACCAATTCACAAAAAACATACAAAAAAAAAGCTATAATGTGCACATGTGCTCATTGTTGCGCTCCTCTCCAATTATACCTTTCCTCTTGTCAAACAAATCCTCATTCTCAATCTTCATGTAAAAGGAACGCATCCTCATGTACCTCGTGCTCTTCAACAACGATTTAAGATTTTCTAAAATGCGATTTGCGATATTTGGGTGAATCATCTTGGACCTTAAAATCTCAAACTGCTGTTTGTGGTGGCAATACAACTGTTCATAGTAGTAGACGTTAATGTGCAAAACAGAAACGATAGAAAATAGGTAAAGAATGAATTTCTCGGGGTCTTTATTGAAGTAAGAAATTAAAAATTCAATGATTGAATATTCAAAAAAAGGACTACTTGGATTGGAAGAAACTAAATTCGAGAGACCTAAATATAATGACAGAAATGTCTCCGCTATATATATGTTTCGTCTGTACAGAACTGCCGGTACATGCAAAACGGCTCTACCACATATACGAGCATGCCTTATTGCAGTTGGATGTTCATACAAAAAGTTTCCTTTCAGGTGTGTTACACTTTTAAAAAATTTGTGTAGATATAAAGAGGTATATCTTGTTAAGGATAGCATGCTTTCCATATTTAAAAGTTGCCTTGTAATGTTGTATGCCTCTACATGAGTTGCTATTAAAATGCATTGCATACGAAATCCTTTATGTACAAAGGCAGTATCTGTTTTTAAGAGATTGTCAGTATTCCCCCTCGTCATGATCAAATTTTCAATGGTTTTGCAAATTTGCTGTACAGCCATGGCCTTTGCAACTTCGGTTTCAAGGTCCAGGTTCAAACTCTTCTTCACGTTTTTACATTCGACTTGGGTAAAAAAGAGAGTGGAAGGGGGGGGGGGGAAGAAAAAACAGGAATGAACCATTGAGTCATAGGATTCTCCATACAATACGAACCTTTCCTATTAACAAACAAATATGCAATCACAAATGGAAGCACTACGTGCACAATTACATTCACAAAAGCATACACACAAAAAAGTAAAATATTTGCCCGTTGTTTTCTGCACTTACTGTTACTGGTGTCATGTTTAAAGCTATAATCGCTGATGTTGTGGCTTAATTCCTTGACTACATTGTAGGAAGTAAAGGGTGTGTGGGCGTACGGTTGTATGGGTGGGGTGGAGATCGTGGATCATCGTATAAAAGCACAGATAAGACAATAACAATGGTGAATAAAGCTTGTTTTACTAACATGAAAGCAGCAAAAAAAAAAAAAAAATAAATAATAAATAAAATAAAAATAACATGCAATCGGAAGCGAAAGTTGGAGGAAGGCCCTTCTTTGCGCAATTGTCATCGCATGGGGAAACTCGTAGAGCTATCTCCTCGGAACATTTTGCAATCTCGGGGTTGATATATCAGAAAAATACTCTGACGTGGACACACATATTCACGCAAGTCCCCTCTTGTTTACCAGAAACAGGACTGATTCGATGTCCCTTTTTCTTGAAAGCGTAAAAGAATCTATTAAGCTTGTCTGCGGAATGAGAGAGAGAGAGAGAGAGAAAAAAAAAAGTGGGTGTAGAAATACATATAAAAAAATCCTCATATACGACTTTGCCACTAATGAGAGACCCTGTTCTAAACAAATGTGGAACGAGTCCAATGTGTACACTGGTATGAATGTACTAACCAAAAATGCTGGAGGCGAATTCACTCAGTCTGATTAACCCAGGATTCTCGTCAATGTAGTAGGGACTCTTAGGTATTTCATCGAAGAAAGATAAAAACAATTTGTTCTTGTTGCTCAACACTTTAAAAACATCCAGAGGAATATTATTATTGGGATTCTTTAAATCTCTAGGCTTGTATTTAGTAAACATAGGAAATCCCCAAACGGATTGTGGTTTTACTAAATGTACGTCATCTCTGCTTAAAAATTTCTTAAAATAGTCAACATAGGGTTGTTGTAAAGCATCAAAAAGGAACAATAAATCATCACAGAATGTACCCTTTTCCTTGCCTGCAAATCTGTTGTCACATAATTTTTTTATGTAATTATCAAGACATTTTAAAACATTCGGCTGAGAATCACACTCTTTAGTGTAATGTAATTTTATGGTATAAACTGGGCAGTTCACAAATACTTTACTTGTTCGTTCATTTTCCAGAATATTTTTCACGATGTTTTTTCTCTCTCCATCTTCCATGCTTTGATATAATTTTTTTAAAGCAGATATTGGTGTTCCGATGGAAGTTAAAAATACTTTATATTCCTGTCGGTTTAACTGAAATGAGAGCAACCCGTTCTTGTCCTTCAGCTTAATGTTTGTTTCTATCAGAGGGGGCAAGATACAGTACTTGTGAAATTCCTTTATAGTAAAGGATGTGTACTTTGCAACAGGTTCCTGATTTTCAAAGTTGTAGGAAAAAAACACCTTCTGTTCTTTATCTAAATATGTCATCAATTCCTTTATATCTGGCTCTTCATATTTCCTTAAGAACTCCGATACCCACGATCTGTTGGAGCATGACGAAAAGTTGTGCTCCTTTTTATCTTTCAAATGACTCGGGATAGTGAATGGCACTGATAGGTAATGCTCTACGAACCAGTAGAACTGCTCGGGCTCCCCGAGAAAGTCGAGGAAGGACTGGTGCACCGAGGGTGGAGATGAGGGGGAAAAAAAGCAAGTAAAAATTGTGTGTTATTGAAAAAGTGAATATGCAAAGGTGAGTACGCATGAGAACATACTCGCGCATTTGTGTGTGCACGAACAGGTGCATGCATGGTATGAACTCTCTGCAGGGCCATGTGTGCGCATGTAATGAAGGAATCACTCGAAAAATGTTTTTACAAGGGGTAGATACTTTAGCTAATATTTCTTCAACACGCTGAGTACACATGCCGCCAAGTGTCCACGTTGTGTAGAAGGTAAATTTGCACCTTCGCCTCTCCACAGCGAAGCCCCTTTCATCTGGGTATGAAGTCACAAGGCCTTCTCTAAATGTGCGTCTCTGCACACTGTGTGGACACTCTTTCTACACACTGTACGTTCTCAAGCAGATACTACTGCAGTGTGTTGTATTCACGAGAAAGTGCCTACATTAGTGTGACTATTTCCGTGTCACTCATTTCTGTTGCAAATTTGTTTTGCTTACATTTGGATCGGGTCCATGATCTCTGAGGTTGTAATACGCCACCAGGTTGCATTGTAAAAGATTCTTTAATTTTTTGTTCACAAATCCGCTGAAATATTCTCGCCCTAACACTTGGGGGGAAAAAAAAAAAAAGGAGCATGTTGTACGTGGCAGAATTATGTATTAGCCGATCAGAGCATGAGAAACTCTGAGCCTATGCGTGCATATATTCAAGCGCGCGCACGCATTGTCTAAAATGTTGCTCTGCTGATCTCTCAAATTCGTGTGCTTTACCCTGAACAGATGAAAGCGTTACCAGACAAGTTGTAAAAAGTGTAACAAAGAGCTTGCTTCGCATATTTCTCTTTTTTTTTTTATTGCATCCTGGAAAAAAAAGAAAAAATATAATAATAAATGATAATAATAAGGATAATAAAGTGCATAAATGAAAGAAGGACAGGAGCGTATAACAGCAAAGTAACAGAGCAATGCAGGCTACATAAACAAAAAGGCCCATATGCATTTACCTAATTTAATTATTTGGTAATATTTTTAATGCATAACGCGCGTTACCAAATTCTCTAACTTTGGTTTTTGCTCTCCTTATTTTGTGTGCTATTTTTTTTTTTTTGTTCTAAATACTTTTTTCCAATCTGTGTTTCTTTACAACTCTTTGCACCTGCGGTGCTGACTGTGCGAAATATTAAAACTTGCTATGCTATTTCGTGTGGTTTTACTTTTTGTTTTAAAACTAAAAAAAATATCAATTATTAAAAAATTAAAGCATTCATATTACTAAAGCAGTTTCACATTATAACCAAAAATGTAAAAGAAAAAAAAATGTGTACACGTATATGTCCACATACATACAATATACTACTTAAAAAAATTCGCTAAAGGGGCAAATCCTTTGCATATTGTTTCCGAGTGGACTCTTTTAAAGCAAAAAGTGCACACGAAAGTATAGTATGTATTTTTTAACTATTGTTTTATTGTGTGAAAATAAAAATTCAAATCTTAAAACCTAAAAGTGTAAACGCATATGTCCATTTTTCCTGCCATTGCGCACTGTGAACATTATTTTGTGCTACATGGTCATATTGTCATAATGTAATTTTACTAATATTTTTTTTTAATTTGATTTTTTTTTTTTTAGGAACGTTAAGCTTTTCGTGGATATTTCCAAAAATATACGTGGCGCAAATGTATCGCTAAACCATGTTATTTTTGTTTTTTGTTTTTGTTTAGATTATTTCAGTGAACTTCGCTTTTTTTTTTTTTTTTGTTTGGCCTTTCCTAAATTGATGCGGGTATATGCGCATACCTGTAAGACAGCCACATTAAAAATTACATTGCCGCTTCAACAGGCAACGTATGCAATATATGTGCACCATGCACATATGTACAGTGTACCATATGCATATGGCAATCTTGTAATGTTTGTTCAAAATGAGAGCTATTAAAAAAAATTCATTGTTTAGTTTAATGCGTTAAAAATGCCCACTTGTTTTCGTAATTACCCATATCATATTGAAATATTGTAACAAAAAGAAAAAAATTACATAATAATTTATAATGCACCATTATGCACCCTTGTGTAATGTGCAATAACTAATAGAACGCTTGCCCCCCCCACAAAAAAAATTAAAGTGTAAACGGGTTGTTTTGTACATATGTGTATTATACACTGATTTATATGTGTAACCGTTTGCGCGGCTATTCAATAACAGGCGTCTTCCTTTAAGCGCGTAACTGTTTTTGTGCTTACAACTCATTACGGGGGAATTATGTAAAGTGCCTCAAGGATGGCAAGTGGCACTGACCCATTGCTAGATTGTGCGGGGCTAACAAATTGGCAGGTCGAACGGTTGAAAAAAAACTGCCTTTATTCAAAAAAAGAAAAAAGAAAAAACGTGCACGATCTTTTGTGCAACGCGTGTACACCATTTTGTGTGTCACGGACGCAAGAGTTGCCAAAATTTGCATTTTCTGTTTTTCATAGGAATCAATTAATTCGAACCAGCACTTAAGAGAAAATTACTTGCGTTGCTATTCGTCACTTACGCCGTTTACACTTGTTCATTGTGTCCGTGTGGCCAATTTTGTAGAAAGACACACAACACACAGTCACCGCGTCGCCGCACCCCCGATTGGACTTTATTTCCATTTTACTTATTTTTACCTCATTTTTACGTTATTTAATTTTACCTTATTTAATTTTACCTTATTTAATTTTACCTTATTTAATTTTACCTTATTTAATTTTACCTCATTTGGCTTCATCCCATTTTGCTTCACCTCACTCAATGCTAAACCTCCCAGCATTAGAGTCACAAAAAAAAGACAAAATAAAGCAACACGTTTGCAACAATTGAGGCACGCGCCTACCCCTCTTTTTATCCCATAATTAACGAAATTCAATTGTAACATTTGTAAATTCCCCCCACTCATCTATTTAATTTAACAAGACCACATATAAATGTTGTTCATTTATAATTAAAATTGTTCTTAATGCGATTCAGCCACCATGTGTATTGTACACACATGCATGTTCCCCTTTTTACGATTTTCTTTTTATTCGAAAGAGTGAACATGTGCTAGTTGTATACACTCTTCCGTTTTGCAAACTTTAATTAATTTTTACCTCCTTTTTTTTTAACACACCTTTCCTTCGTCATTTTTCATTTCGACAAGTTTATTCATGTTCGTCTTCCCCTGTCCTGCGCTGCTACGCTGTTGCCTTTACCGTACAGTGCTCCGTGCCCCTCCTGCTTAAGAATAGCAAAAAAAAAAAACAACGTCCTGCATATGTTCACTGAGGGCCATCGAACTGCGCTTACCCATTTTTGTGTGCTTTTAACAACTCCTCCCATGTTACATATGTTCCGCGCGCAGCACTTGTCCTTTTCTCCATTTTGCTAATTAACATTCTCTTTTCGCGAAAAAAATGCCCTTAATTTTGTTAATGCCACTATTCCTGTTTATCATTTATTAGTTTCCTTTTTCTTTATTGCCTTTTCATACGATTTCATTTGCGCTAATATTGCGTATTCGCGCATTTGCGCATGTTGCAAAAAGGTGAACGCACCTTTTTTCTTTTTTTTTTTTATGCATGCTTCGCGCCTTTTGTCCCATTAAAAAAAAAAAAAAAAACAAGCATTAATCTTGTAATACACATGCAACCCATGTTCGTACAACCCTTTTAATATTCTTTGAATTCGCTTTAGGCTGAATTAATTAATTATCTAATTAGCCTGCTTCAGTTAGTATGAGCGTATGTATATGTATACATACACACGTATGCATGTATTTTTTTGTTCATTTTTACGATGATGAGATTGGCAACACTAATTTTTAACGCATGCTAATTCCAGTGCGCATTTTTTTTTGTTTTTTTTTTTTTTTTTTACACACCAACAATGCCTGAGTAGGTGTATTTAGTATGCGCGCGCTGGACGAAAGAATAACCTCATTAATTACTCGCAAATCTTTTTGTTTTATATATCTGCTACGTAGTTATCATATAAAATAGGAAGACACTTATGCCTTTTTGCGAGTAGCCGTTTTGCGTTTCCTGTGAATTAGCGTTAAAAAAAAAAAAACAAAACGAGGAGGAAACTCAGCTGAGGAGTACAAAAAAAAGGACAAAAAATACACTAGCACGCAAGCATACATACATGTGCAACCGAGAATAGTAGAGTATAACCATAGTATCCCACCGCGCAGTACTCCCTCGTCAACCCATTTATTCCTCGGTGCCCGGTCTGACGTCCGCGTCCCCGTCCCAAACTTCTAAATTTTCACGAGAACAAAAAAATATTATAATGTATGACCTAGGAAATAAACACAAATTTGATGTGAAAAAATGCATAAAGAAATATAGAGTGTGCATAATTTTACACGTGCTCCTAGCTGGGCTGCAGTTACTTACGCCCCGATCTTTCCTGTTTGTGTCCCACTTGTTGGTGGTTGTCATTGGGATCGACTGCTTCTGCTCCTACTTAACGTTGAGGTACTTCTGCTTCACAGTTGTAAATATGATATTCGGGATTACTGACTTCATATGGCTACTATTTAAGTGTATAGGCAAAAATCGGTTTAAGTGGTTAGACCCACAGCACTACTGGAAGATAATCAATGTCGACAACCTCTTTTTGGAGTTCTTCTCAACTGCGCTACACTACATGTTTGAAGAGAAAAAAACGGATGACTCTACTCAAAATGTGCACAAGAAACATGAGTATATTAAAAACTTCTTTAAATTATTACCAGTCCAGAAAAAAACATATGCATGGAAAATTTACTTAGAGTTATTTATTATCGTGGTTGGCATTTTCTTGTATTTTATTGGATCATATATCAGTTGGCAACTCTACAAGTACACATTAAATTATAATCAAAATGATTTATTGTTAAGCAAATACCATTATGGTACCTTCCATGAAGAGAATAGTAAAAGCCCTCCTACCACACAGAGTGAATTTATTCCCTTCATTGGACAACCATACCGAATATCAGACTTCTTGGAGAAAAATTAGTACCCCCTCCCCCGTAATTTGGGAGCTGCACTTATTTGTGCCTACATGGACTACTTCCTCCTTAAGTACATTCCCTCAACACATGCTAAAATTAACCCCCTCTTTTTTTTCATGTGCGTCCCATACGTATGCGTTCCATACTTATGTGTCCATTTCTGTCCCTTTTGCTTCTTCACCTCTAAAATGTTTCCATCACCCGTGTGTTAAATGTTGCCCCTTCTGACCTTCGTCCACTTGTTTTCGTTTATCCGTCTTATATAACCACCACGCACGTGTATAGACAGGAGCAACCATTAAATGCGTCCGTCTCCACTTCCATTTTGCACACAATGTATATTACTGCAAACATGTATAACCGCGTGTGTATTCGTGCACCCACTGTGCTGCCGTCCCCTGGACATTGACACCTCAGCAGTGACGTGCTTCCTTCTGCACACACTTGCCTTATTATTATTATGTCGAACAAACCTTTCCCTACTCTTGCACATCACTAACACATCTTTAGCTTTCTTTTAATTTTTGTTTAAAATATCTTCATATTTAAAAGTATAATTTTGAAAAAAACGTTCTAACGCGTGAGCAGCCTTTCCAAATCAACACTCCACTGTGTGGGGGACAGTCTCCCTAATTAAAGGGGAAAAAGCGATCTAGTTTTTTTCTTTGCAAAAAAGAGTAATCGTGAAATTGCTCATCCCACAGGGGGAGAAGCGTTGCAGTGGAACAGAAGGAAGAGATTGCTGCCCCTTTTCGCTCCCTGCCCCTAAGAGTAAAAGTCAACATAAAGGTTCCTCTGCCAAGAAGCACACAACGCATTTACGAAAATTCCGCCTAACAGCTAATCACAGGGCAAAAGGTACAGCGGTCTGCATCTGCCGATGATTCAAAATACATACATGTGTAGAAATTTTATTCACCCATATAAAAGTCTACTATCCGAACTGTTTAAATGTTCCATGAGCCATTTTTTGCTTTTTTCCTGTATCCCTATATTTGTACTGCTAGAATAATCGCACCCCTTACAAAATGGAGAAAAAAAAAAAAAAAAAAAAAAAGAACATCAATTGCGCATATTGCCATGGAGTTATTTTTTGCCGTATATATAGACAAAAAAAAAAAAAAAAAAAAAAAAATTGCAGTTTAGAGAGAGTCTTAAAAGATGCTCCGTTTCTTTCTTCCTTTCTCCATTTTGTACATGTATGAAAAACGCTTCTCCAAGTTCCCCTTCTAACGGCCACTATGTTTTGCTTGTTTCGATTCTCAGCTATAATGAGGCATAATAAGCACTCATGATGTCCTACACACGTGTTCAAATGTATAGTTATGCGCATAGGTAGGCATATATATAGACATACGTGCACTACTGCACCTCCCCTACAGCGCAAATTTGTCCTGCTGTCTGGTCAATCTTAATTTGATATTATCGCACTCGATTAAGGTCTTACTACATATGCACAACACTGAAGAGACATACATTTGTAATCGTAAACAAAGTGCCTTTTGTTTTTCTTTTTTGGGGGAGTCTTCCCCCTTTTCTGTCTTGTGTTAACCCCTCTTTACAAGCGTAATATACACATACTCGGATCTGCCGTATATGGATCTGTAAACCGCGCGTTAATCCTACGCAGACCCAAACTACGCTCGTCTCTATTGCCACAGGCTTGAATATTGGACAAAAAAAACAACAAAAAAAAAAAATTGACGCAGAAAATTATTCACAACGTGCCCCTCAAACAAACAAAGGAGAGAACCATGCAAAACGAACACACGTTGGACGAACCTATAACGTTAAAATTCTGCTACGGAATTAATGAGTCGCTTAGCAGTGTGCACGTGATAAGGAAGCAAGAACAGGAAGGAGACACCACGGGGGAACATGGAGATCCCCTCATTGTCTACAGCTCGGATAACAATATCGTTATAGTGGATCAAAAGGAGCAGCTGCTCTTTAGGGGACATGTTAACAAAATTTCAAAATTGATCAAAAGTTGTAACAATGAATTTATCGTTTCTTGCGACAAAGGGAGGGACTCTTTCATCATTTTGTGGAGACTAAACCAGAAATGCTTAGTTCCGGTTAAGAAGTTTTTTTATCACAGTTCGCATGAGCCCTCGGGGAAAGTTGAGCCAAAGGAGAGCATCGGTGGGGAGGCATGCCACAAGAACAGCAGTCCACGTGCGGTGAACAGTCCACGTACGGCGAAAATTCCACATGGTGTGAACATCCCACGCTCGGTGAACAGCCCAAGTGCAGGAACCAAGGACGGAGTGAGCAGTGGATATGCCAACCACAGCCAAGCAGAGAACGTAGGATTCGAGTGCGTGGACATAAGTTTTGACAACAGGTACATATGCGCACTCACGGAGAAGCAGCTCTACGCTAAGGGTAGCGAAAGGAGCAGCACGAATGCCGTTTTTTACCAAGAGATTGTCATTTTCGACACCAACGGAGGGGAGCACAACATCGTGTGCAGAGACAAAATATATGGGAAGGAAACCCAAGAAAAAATTCGATTGAATAAAAAGTACGAAATTATCTCCAACAGCAAATCCAAGTTATACATTTACAATTTTGTAAAGAAACATAGAACGATTACCCATTACAGTCCTTCCTTATACAAGAGTAACATAATAAATGAGCGTTTTATATTTACCGAGACGTCATTTGTGGATAACTCCACAATGCTCTTGACAGGAACGACAAATGGCTACCTCATTGTCTGGGACTACAGTTCCATTTTCTTGAGCAAAACAAAACAGACCGTTAAACAAAGGGAATATCAAAAGTACTTAGAAATAAGAAAAGACATTCCAATAAACATTGTACAGAGTTATGGGAACTATGTCATTTTAGGGCTCAGTGATGGCAGCGTTCAGGTGTTTGATACAGACCTCAAATGTTACGCATGGTTTGAAAATATCCATGTGGGGCAAATTAAATCGATATCTTTTGAGCTGTCTAATTTTGAGGACGACTTCTTTGCATGGAACTCTTTCATCTTATGCACGGAAAAAAACATTATTAAACAAATACACCCCTCCAGTTTTAACGACAGAGGGAGTGGTATTCAGTGGGACGACACACACGATGATCAGCTTGTAACAGGGGGAAAACGCACCCAGGGCGAGGTCACAAAAGGGAGACTTAAACAAGCACACGCCATACCAAATGATCCTAAAAACTCACTGGATCAGAAAACCCAGGCAGAGAATAAAACGCTGCTTCACTTCGACAGCTCCTGCATCAGCTGCATATGCACCAACCCAACTAGCGAAAAAAACGTCATATACATCGGAAATGAAAATGGGCTAATCGAAATCTTCGATTTTGACAAAAACGTAAAAGTCCACTCAATATGTTTGACATCAAAAGAAATCGTATCTATGATTTTCAGCAACAGTGGAAATATACTTTGTGTGGGATGCAAGTGCGGATTCATTCAGTTGATTAATGCGGACACATTGGAAATATTTTTCTCAAGCAGAGATATGAAATACCAAGTGACATACCTGTACTTCAGTGAGGATGATAAGATACTCATTTCTTCTTCTCGAAATGCTAATATGATCATTTATAAAAATGAAGATTGTTCTAATCCCTTCGACTGGAAGTTTGCCTACAGAGTTGTTAACAATAATAATATCACATTCACTGATTTGAAAATCGTAAAAGAGGTTCACAAAAAAAATTATTACATCATTGTAGGCATAACCAACAACAGGTACATCATCTTCCATCATTACAACTTGGTTGAAAATAATATCACCATCTCGTACTTGCCCATAGAACAGATTTACGCCCCAACGTGCCTCTCGCAAAATCTATACTTTTACGATAGACAAGTGTTATGCATCTGTAATGAAGCCTCCAAAATACGTTTCTTCGACTTGGAGACAAAGAAAATTGTAAAAACTGTTCAACTCCCATTTCGAGATAAAAACGTTAACAGATTTTTGCCCCTCATGGATTATGGGGAAAACGGTACTGCAACCACTAGCGGAAAAAACAAATCCACCGAACCAGCTAAACACAACCTGGACAAAAACAACATCTTCCTTTTTGTGCTCAACGAAAAAATGATCGTGTTCACGCAAACCCCGATAGACGCAAACTGCTTCAGGTACATCGGGGTCATCGTGTCCAGTGGCGCCATACAAAATGTCATTTCGAAGAATCAAAACATTTTTATACTCAGTAACAACAAAATCTTTTATTATCGTATTAACGCTAATGTATTAAAAAAAAACATAGAGGTCCAAAGTAACACTCTCGAAAATTTTATCGAACAAATTGGAGGCAAGACCAGCAACATGTTCAAACAAATTATGGACTCCTTTTACTACTGTGAAATTCAAAAAAAAAAATTTCAACAAAAAAAAGAAAAACATGATATTAAGAAACTCCTCAATATTTTGTCTATTGAGTACATCTTCGCCTCTATCAATGTGTTCCTATCCAAATTTGAAATACAAAACATAATACAGGAGTATCACTTTTACTATAAGTACGTACTTCCACTTCTGATTCAGGGAGGGGCTATAGTCAGTGAATCCCTTTCCATGGCGGACGGTGTAACCCTGGTGAATTATAAGTCGGACGACGACCTCTTGCTCCAAAATGTCTTTTTTGTGAGACCTCCGGGGTGTACGGGTAAGGCAGATCGTAGCTGGGATAGCAGCGCACATCGCACACCATTTGTATGTCGCGTAGTAATGTATACAGGTGTAGCAGTCCATATCTCGCACGCGCATCCAAAAAACTGCATGAGCAAAACGTTCTTACCGACCCAATTCCCCCCCTCGCAGATACCCATACACATTCCGACAAAGAGCTTCTCAGCGAAAGTTGCGCAGACATCAATTCCAGTCAAGAAAAAAGAAGAGATAACAAAGAGGGAGACAAAAACGACGAAGATAACCAAAGCGAAACAAATCCTTGTGGTACTGACAACACCCTCGAGGGGGACATCACAAAGGACTGCGAACATATATACTTCAACATCAATGCCTTTATTTACACCTACTTCAATTTCGCTACGGAGGACGAAACAAATTTGGACCAAGTAATACAAAACATAGGAAATTATTACAAAGAGAGTAATAAAAAGAAAAAAATTTCTTGCAGTGATTTTTTTGAGATGCTAGAAAATCACGGAGAAACCATGGACCAAAATGAGTTCCAAAGAATTTTTCAAATTTTTACAAAAAGTGAGGAGTTCCTCGACGGAGCCGACATATTCGACTTAGATTTGTTGAAGAACTTACTCCAGTAGGTCATCTACTGGGCCTCTAAAAATAGGATATGCTCAAGCACATATTTGGTATACATATATATATGTGTGTGTGTGCTTTTTGGGGGGGGATTGCTTCTACCCACCGGCCCCTTTCACATCTACTGCGTATCATCCCTTGGGAGCTCTATATCCGTTGTAAAGTCATACTCGATCGTTGGTATCACGCCAGAGACAAACTTCAAAAGAAATAGGAGATACAGATCATGCCTTCGAAAAAGAGGGAGGGGAACAGTTGCTGCATTTTTAATAATCTCTCACTTGTTTATATGTGTACATATATATATACATGCATTTCAATTGTTACACTACAGGAATGCACACATGAAGGGAGTGCGGGCGGGGTATACTTACCTCGGTTCCTTGCCCTCGCTCATCCAATTTTTTACAATGTTTAACATTGCTTCGGCGTGTCTGCAAAAGTGAGGAGTGCAAAAATATTGTCCAAAGGATAAACACACAAAATAAAAGGGGGGTGACGACAAAAGGTAAATCATTTTTTGGGACTTCCCAACATACCTGCACGGATGGATAGATGCAGTCATTACACCTGTGCACGGATGGGGGTCATACTACGAACAAAGGAATTTAAAAAAATGGTCCCAATGCACATATATATAGCACGTATACCAAGATGAAAAAAGGTGAACAAAAAAATATGAGGTTTCCCATTTCGAGTAACATAAATAATTATGTCCAAATATCTGTTTATGTATTCGTCTTTTCCACTAACAGTAACGGTTTCGTAACTGTACTCTGCAGAGATGTCTTCAAAAATTTCCTCCGATTTGAGCGGGTGCCCATTCTGCGATGGACGAAGGGGGGGAGCGGCAAGTTCGGGGAGCATTACCGCAAAAAATGCGTAAAAACAAATGCATAACAAAAAAGTGGAATGGGGAAAAATGGCAGCTGAAAAGTAGCCGCCCACTTACTTCGTCATATCCAAACAGCCATATGCGAGGAGTTTCATAATACTTGTCGTATGTTATGCTGACATCGTACGTGCGTATTTTCATAACGTCTGCGTTGTGGAGGGGTTGGAGTGAGGAAACGGGTTGGTGCACACGGGTGTGATTCACACTGGGGGGCACTTATTCCTTGCCACATTTTCCGCGCCATTATGTAGACACACACACACGGATTTATTTCTAAGTGAATCTTTTTCATATTACTTTCATTCTGTCCACCGTACGAATAAAGACCTGCGTGGTCCAGCGCGGCTGGGTCATCTTCCTGTGGGCACAGAAAAAAAAATGCAGAGCTACGAGGTTTGGCAAGACACAAATGAAGTTTTTCCCAAAGGGAGTAAGCAACAAAATGGATATATATATTTGCCCTATCCACTATCTCATATGAGTAACCTTAATGAGGTCATAGTTTGGGTCAAAGTGTGCGTCAAAGTTATGTATGTCAATGGCTTCGTCGTCCTCTTCCACCGAGTCATCCTGGTGGTTATGCGCCTGGCCAGGTTGGAGAAAAAAGTTGCAGGCGGGAAGGGAGTGTGTACATTGGGATTCTTTTTTTTTTGTCCATAGTGTCGTGGACCATTATATACTACACTGTTACTCTTCTGCTCATCTGCCGCTTTTCCTTTTTTCGATTCTTACCTTTTCCTGCAGGGACACACTTTTGGGCGGGGGCTCCAAGTGACGCATGTCTGAAAAAAGTGAGGAATAAAATTTGTTCGTCGCGGGGATGTAGGAATGATGTCTAAAACTCGGTGCTGTTCCTCCACTTCAGTAATCACTGAAGAGACGCAACATGTACATACGTGTCTATTTTTTTTTTTTTTTTTTCCCCCTCTCTATCTTCATTCGTTACACTCATCTATGTCAGTGGCGTTGTTCTCCTCTTCGTAACTTGGAAGCAGCCAATCGTCTTCAACAGTTTTCTTAAAAAAGGCGATTGAAGTATAAGGACATGTAGTTCATTTGCAAGGAAAAGGAAAAATCACATTAACTGATTGTGCAAGATTAATCCAAAGCACACACACACACACGTGCAGGTTTATCTTTTTATAACTCCCAAATTACCACATCGCGCATGATATAACTCAAGTCCTTAATTCTTTGCTTGCAAGCCACATTTTTCGTTAAGAGGAATTGTTTCCCCTCAGGAAGATAGGGAACTCTGCGATCTTTATCTGCGTCTTGCCTATAAAAAAAAAAAGTGGGCAAAGATGGAACGTCGGATTAACGTACTTCGCCCTTTTCGCTGCTGCTGGGAAGTAGTGTTGGCTGTTCCAATCACTTCGGTTTTTCATGTAAATTTTTTTTTTTTTTTTACCATTCCCATGTTCTAAACTTGTACACAAGAAAATCCCCCGCGTCCACAAACTCCGCTGGGGTCAGTGTCCCTAAAAATAGGTTGCAGGTGGGGAGTGAAAAAAAATGGCCTCAAGTGAAAGAAGTACCCCCTTTGGCGCATTTTTTTTTTTTTTTTTTGTCTCGCTTTAAAGTTCATACTATCCATGTCGCCTTTAAGATGAAGTGATGGCCCCTCGGCACGACATCACTCTATGACTGTTCACAAATCCAACAGACCCAAGGCAAGGCATACCATTTTTAACAAATGAAGACGAGTATGTGATTGGCTTAAAATATGAGTACACCTTTCGATATGTATCTCCTATTTTATGCTTTACATTTATTGGTTCGCTCATTCCAGGATGGTTGGTTTAAAAAAAATGTGGTCTGTGTGTAAAGTGGCCCTTCGCACTAAAGCCCCTGAGGAGGGAAAAACGAGAACAGGCGCAACATGACATCACATTGGCGAGAACGTGAAAGGCAAATTAAAGGGAGACAACAGGATGGGATTTTTTTTCCAGCAAAATTGTGATGTAGCTATTTTGCTCTCCCCCCTGTTCTGCGCTGTTTTGACAATCCCTGATCGGGACGCTCAATTTCATGCCATAAAAGTGCACGATCAGGTGAAAAAATCGAGCCACGCATGGCAAATTTTTATACCTGCTGTTTTTAGAGCATTCTTATTCCCCCCTTAATTGGTCTTAAAAAAAAACAAAAGAAAAACAAGATTCTGTTGCTAATACGCTTTGAATGTGGCTAAAAATGTTTACAACGTTGCGTGTGTTACTTTTTTATGACAGTATATGACAGTTGCTACGTTTTTGTAACGAAATGCAATGTGCCCGACATGAATGACGATTTTTACGAAATTATTTTATGCGACGTATCTGAACTTATATTCTTATTTCAGGCGAGTTACAAAAAGGGACTCATAAATCGTCCAAGAACGAACACCGTTTAAAGGGGTAATTTCAAAATGGGAAATTGCAAATGGGATGGCGACTTAAAATGGAATGCTCAAAACGTGTGTGCAATGTCCTAGCACGCTTGCCCGATCACTTTTTTTCAATTCCTTTTTTCAGCTCCTTCCTTTGGTTCCCTTTATTGAACTCCATGAAGAGCGACACTTCAACAGAAGCATGCGCAGGGAGTTTACCCTAAATGTCCCAGCTGATCCGCAAGACCACACATATACACTAAAATATAAAACTGTGTATGTCCTCCATGAATGTGTATGTTAGCATTACACATCGCACGGGTGCTTTGTGACTTCTTAACCATTTGCGTAGCTTACATATGGAGCATGGATGACACGCCTACGTCACTTAAGTAGCATGAAAAAACCCAAGCGCAGTGTTATTACAATTCAGTGTGGCATTACTTTGGTGATTGTTGCGATGAAGGCAGCGCTTCACCCATAATAAAAATGGAACAGCGAAATGATATTCTGTGTTATAGTTACAAATTTAAAAAAAAAATACAAAAAAACTCACTTTTCAGCATACATGTGCATTCTTTGAAAGCATATCATTTGAAATATTTTTTCGTGCCCTTTTGCGTGGCCCGTTCCTATCCTACTCTTTTAGAAAATTGTAGTGTCCACATTTTGGTGCCATTACGCCGTGTTACGCATGTATTCCTTTTCATTCTTTAGGGAACAATATATCTTATATATGTACGCTGCGCCCTTTCATTTGATTTTTCCTAGTCCTACTTCAATTCGTTGGCGTAGGCACATCTCCCCTTGTGAATGCATTACCTTTCGCCAAATCAGGGCATCGCAGGGCGCACTATATACATATATGCGTATGCGTGTTGCGTTTATTTACTGATTGACGCACATTTGTAATTTATTTTTGTTTTGTTTTGTTTTTTTCACTGTGTGAGCGTCATACCTCTCTTTTTCTGCGCACCGGAAAGGTGAATAAAAACAGAAGGGCCGTCCGCAACATTGAATTGAAGCAAAACAAAAAAAAAAAAAAAAACGTTCCAAGGCAGAATCCCCCTTAAAAAAAGGCGGACATGAAATTATTTTTGACGAAGCACGTCCCAAATAGCTTTCAAGTTGGCAAATCCCTGTGGCGCCGTTTGTACCCCTCAAAGGATGCAATAATGCATATTTATGTACATGTATAAATTATTCACCTTATTTGAATATGCCCATTTTATGTACTCCGAGCAGCTGGCATCATTTGCCAACGTAATTCGTAACAATTCAATTGTACGTGATGAGGTCGCTTTTTGTTTTTTTTTTTTTTTTTACGCACAATAAGTATATTTTTTTAAATATGATGTGAAAAAAAAATACTTATGTTGACTTTTCCCAAGCCGTACCAACATTGCCATTTGATATATACATATATATATTTTTTTAAATTACGAAATCGCTTCCTTTAAGAGGATGCGCGGTAAAGGAAGATTAAGCTAAACAAAAATAGCCCCAGAATAGTGTGAACTTGAGCTATTTTAACTGAACTTAGTTGCAGGGGAAGAACGTGGCAGTGGTATGCGCAGGCAAAAGAACTCAAGAGGGAACAGAATAAAACAACGCATTAGGAAAATGCTAAATTGTGAAGTGACGGTGAAGGCACGTGCTACGTTATGACGCGTTGGACGCATATGATTAAATAAATGTACTAAAGGCGCATGTACCAGTGTACAGAGCGCATAGGCATACATGCCTGCGCGTACATAACACTGTGTATGCATGGCTTATGTATATGCACATATATACATACATGCCTGTGCCTCTTGACGGACGTTTTCAATAAGTGCGGAATAACTTGTAAAACGCGAAAGAACAAAAAGGGCAGAAGCATAATTTACCTAAACCACATGAAGAAGTCGTAACCTTTTTTTTTTTTTTTTTTTTGCGTCCGCTCGTGTTTTCTCTGTAAAGGGCAACTTTGTTCTACAGTATAATCAAACACAGAAGAAAAAGCAGCACATTGGATATGTGTGTACAAATTCGCATATACAAATGTTTGCTTACCCATATTCAACGTGCCAGAACATTGGCTAACAGGAAAAAACGGTCCAGCCTATAAGCGTATGCGCTCGTTTGTGCACAGACTAACTATGGGCATATATTTACAATTTTTGTTTGTATAAACGACTTTGCATGGACAGACACCATCGTGCTATAGAGTTTGTACACGCGTGTGTGCATTTACATACCGGTGCACCAGAACCAACACATGTATGTTTTTAAATTTAATGAAAATATTCGTATCACTTAAACCAATACCCACGTGGGAAAAATGGTAGAATGAGTAAAAGGCATCCTCCTATTTGGCTGTTCATGTGCAACCATTTTTTAAGGCGCATGCCATTTTTTTGAAGTATTATCTGCAAACGTGTGTGTATATATATATGTAAATTTACCTATATATTTATGGACACACGTACATAAACACGACCACGTGTATTCACGTAAGTGCTACTTTGTCCCCCCCCCCCATCTCATGAAGCATGTATCGACTTGTGCAACGTAAGCTATGTCGAACAATGCACCCTTTTTTTTAGTTTAATTTTTATCTTGAACCTTTGTACTTGTATAAATACAAAAAAAAAAAAAAAAAAAACAGAATAAATTTTTTGATAAACGACCTTTTTTTATCTTGTTTTTGTTATTTTTTTTTTCGCAAAATCGTGCCCATTTGGTAAACAGAACAAGACAACAGCAAATGCACCCATAAGAATTTATGCGCAAAAGCGAGCGTGCATAAATTGAAACGTAAAAAAAAAAAAAATTTTTAATAAATAACGCCATAGGTGAGTCAAAATAAGGCATGTCAAATGCTGCGTTAAGAACTTTCTCAAATGGAACTCACTCCCAACCCTATCGATGCCAACGAAGTTGCATTTAAGAAACGAAAAAAATATATGAGCATAAAAAAAGCTAAAGCAAACTTAACCAATATAAACTCAAACGAAACGAGCGACATGCCAGTGGAGCCCCCTCCGTCTTATCCAAGTGGGACCAACACGGATGAGAATGATATCACAACCAAAAGTAAAGTAAAAAAACATAGACTAAAAAAAGTGGACCAGCAGCACAATGAGGTTTCAAACAACGGCGATGGAGAAAATAATGTGGAGTCCATGAATCAACAAAGCAGAAAGAAAAAGTTAACAGGAAAAAAAAAAAAAGACCAAAAGGAAAGTCTCGATGAGAAGGAACAACCGGATGAAGTCACAAATGTAGAAACGACTGCAGAACAAAAAGCAAAATTACAGCAAGCACGAAAAATAAAAAAAGACTTGAAAGAAAAAAAAAACAATCCAATAAATGTCAACGCCGACACCTTGGAAGAACAAATTGACACCATTAACAAACAGCCAACAAAAGACACAAAACAAATAATCCTAGAACTAAAAAATACACTAAACATTGTGGATAGTTCGAACGAAATTAAAAAAATTGACGGGCTAAGTACAAATGAAATAAAAATCCTAGACACATGGTATTTTGCCAACAAGTTAAAAATTATCCCCTGCTTGTTTGAAGACAAACCGCTAAATTCGAACTTACTAAATGCGCTGTACTATATCGAACCCGCATTTAAAAATAAAAAAGGGAAAATAATCATCTACCTAAAATTTATCAAGGCGAAATATGAAAAGTCGTTGAAGAAGGGAAACGGGGAAAAGGTGGATGACAGTGATGAGGACAAGAAGGACTCATGTAAGGATGAAGGGATTGACAGACAAGAACAGTGCAAAGGTAAAATTATGGACATACTAAACAACGATTTACAAAATTTAAAGCAACAGGAATACATGAAAAAGATAATTGAACTTGTAAAGGACGAAAACAGTTTTATCAATTTAAGGTATCATTTCGACTTTCTCGCAAATAACTGCATTGACATGCTTGACGTGTTCCTGGAGGAAGATGGACTATCGTGCATAAAACAGATGTTGCAAAATATAGCCAAAAAAAAACGCATGAAAAAATGCTCCACTTTGTTAATTCATGTTCTAAAGGTTTTAAAAAATTTAAACATCACTCTCGATCATTTAAAGTGCACCTTGATCGGAGTCCCCATCAATTTTATAGCTAGAAATAAAGTCGATGAAAAAAATGGCCTCAACTATACCACGGACAACGAACAGGTTCAGAACATGGCCAGGGAGTTAATCGACGAGTGGAAACTTATACGGGATAAAGCCTTAACTGGCGTGGGCGCCGATCGGGGTGGCCAATCTATGGGGGAGAAAAACAGCGAAAGAAAACTGGAAGAAGCAGAAGAAAACAAAACTGAAAACGCAGTAGAAAGGAAACGGGAAAATTCGCTAGAAAATGCCACAGAAAACAAGCTGGACAGTACAATACCCCCCGCGGAAGATGAGGACACCCAAGCGGGTTTCTCAACCAAAAGTAAAACCATGGACGCGCTCCCCAGGGAGCAGAGCCCAAGCGATCGCGTTATCAGAAATGCGAAATCTATGAACCTTAAAAACGATGAAAAGAGAAACCAAGAAGAAACGAAAGGAAGTCCCAATTTCGTCCATCTGGAGCCGAAAAGTGTAAGCCCACATGCCAAAAGTAATGATAAAAAAAAAACAAACAGGTCCAACGAAAGCAAAAATATTATGCTAGAAATAATAGACACACTGAATGAAGAGTACGAAAAGAAAAAAAAAAGACATCAAGAATATAAAAAAGCAAAAATTGAAGGAAAAATCAAAAAGTTTAGTTCTTTAAAAAATACTTCTGAAAATCCCAATAGTGAAATTCTCCTCCCCGATATTGCGAATATTCGTAAACCCCATCTGGATAGTTCCTTAAGTAAAAAACTTCTACTAGGTGATTTTCCTCCACCCAACGCACTGCCCCAGCATCATCACATGAGCAAAAATTTCCCACAAACTAGTACCAGCGTTATGAATAATTATACGCAGAGCTCCAACTATACAATGAACAAAAGTGCAAGGATGATGAGTGCATCTCCCCCACCAAATGATAGGTTTAACAGAGGAAACCAAAAGTACCCTTTGGACTTTTCAAGAACACAACACGGGAATGCATACCTACAGGAAGAAGAACCCTACAACACTAGTAACATTGTTAGTAGAAATCAAAACTTACACAACAGGACCACTCATCCAACGGAAAATAAATCTGCATACATGGACAAGTACAACGGTACCCACGATGGTAGGAACATTGCGAGTCAACAGTTTGCAGAGAATGAAAACTTATTTGATCATTCCCCCACCAATATCATGAATAAAGATTTCAGCTTTTTAAAAAACAAACGTGGCTTCCCGTCCGAGCGATATGGCAACAACGCTAGTTATGCAAATGATGAAATGTATAGAGAATCATCCACCTACAAACCACATCATAAAGAAGTGCATCCATCAGATAGTAACATTAACTCATACTTTAACCATATGGAAGATGATGAGTTGGATAATATACCACAGAAAAGGAGAAGAAACGTCTCCCCTAGGAATAACCCAGATATAAGCTCCACAAACTATCGAGGGTCCAAAGGGGCTGAATATTACCCAGATGACCACCACATGTATGACCATTCTTATAGAGGAAGAAATGGTGGTCATAAAACGGTCCATTTTTCTGATGAAAATCCAAACGTGTATTCGCATAATGCACACAGATTGGATCGAAGTAAAGGAGGAGAAATTAAAAACAGAATGAGTGATGTCCACTCTGAGGTTAAAGACCCATTTGAATTTTATTCTGGAGTTACCTATAACCCGAGGGATCGGAACCAAGGACAAATGGAAAGATCGGCCAAATCAGAACAAGGAAGAAACGGTAAGATTTTTCATAATACCAATACCATATGGTTTAAAAATAGGGATGACGATGCTGTCCACCATGTGGGTAGTCCAGAGGGAGAGGACACCCTTTTGGGTTCCTTCACAAACACATTCATGAATTTATCAACCTTTAAAAATGTATCCCAATATGGGAACAAACTCGCGGAAGGTGCGGAACGAAACACATTTCCATTCCTTCATGGCACCTCGTGCACTGGTAACCAAAATAACGTCTTAATTTTACTTAACTCTGTTTTACTAAAATGTGCAGGGAATAAAATGGAGGAACATAATCTCACCAACCATAGGCAAGTCAACTTTGACGTCTATCATCAAGGGAAAAAACATGCTGATTTTTTCGAAACCACTTTTGGTAGTACATCACATATGAAAGAAATGCTTCAAGCTTCACTAAACGAAATCTTTAAGAATTACAAAACTTTTGAAAATGTAAAAATAAATTACCAAGTTGCCATAAAAGGAAACCACTACCCTCCAAAAATATATGAAGACACCGAAGTCCTCAAAAATGACATCATTATTAAATTTAAATATGACTCTTTGGAGAAAATTCCTATATACTTAACGTCTGGAAACACACCAAACAGATACGAAGCTAAGATGGATAGGAGTAGTAACAACGCGGCAAATGTCCTTCCTGAAGAATTTAACTTGCTGCCATTACCAGAGTTGTTTCCCCCTCCAAATTTAAACAACCTCAAACTCCCCCCCATCCCGATCATACCTGGGCTTCCTTCATCGCAAAATATTATCCCTCCGATTATGTTTCCCCATAATTCTGGTCCGTTTAATGAACTGCCCGAAGGCACGAACCGTCTGCCGCACGAACTCACCCAAAATGACCTCAGTGGCAACTCCACCGACGGTGGCAAACTGTACAAATCGTTCGACGATTTCTTAAACATTTTTGACGAGGATATTCGGAACATTCTGCTCAAAAATACTGACGTAAGCGGCGGAGAAATAGGTGCCACCCACGTGGTGCTATGTTATAAAAATGGCTAGCTCGCACCACAAGCGAGCGAGTCGTGGGAGCACCAAATGGTGTGCCCCTCCCCAAAAAAAAAAAAAAAAAAGAAACGATCTTTCACAGTGATACATTTACCGGGGACCTTTTCCTCCCATTGCCTTTTTCCCTGCAGCTGGCCAAATTACTCATGAGCAAACCCGATGTCGTGAAGCAGATGCTCAAAGGCCCCAAGTACATTAACGTAAGTTTTCCTGTGCAGTGTGTCACATGAAACATGTAGCTGGGCTATCTCCATTCTTGTAACCACATCATTTGGTTTTGCCTTTCCCCCCTTTTCTTCTTTCCAGGAAGCTTTGTGTTCGTTGGAAGAGGAGCTTAAAAGTTGGAACCGGTCATCCAACTGAGTATCACGGGAGACTAGAGCGAAGGAACCTCCGGCCCGGGTGGACTTCTTTTTTTATGTTGGTCAGCTTTGCTAGCTCTCCGCCATGTCCCAGGAGCAGGAAGCCAAGGTGTGCTATCACTTCATGTTCCCATTTCATATTATCATTTGAACGTTTCTTGTGAATGTACACCTGTCTAAAGCGCAATACACTTTAGCACACCTTTTTATTTCCCACAATCTTTAATTATTACTTTTTTTGTAATTAAACAATATATACACATCAACGTAGCGCTTTTTTTTTTTTTCGCTTGCCCTTCTCGAGTGTTGCTTGGCTGCTAAAAACGCGTCTCTCTCCAAATTTTCACTCGTATGGCATTTTTGTTTTTAATTCAGCGTGCCTCCCTTTGTGCGCCACTTCATCTGCTTCACCCCACGTCTACAACTTAATTTCGCAATTCGTTGCCAAATGAGCACCATGAATTAAATCTTTATAAAAAGAAATGTTTACAAAATGGGAAGCGTTTATAAGGTGTATATTCTCCCCTTTTCCAAAATTGTGCATGCGCCTTTGGACGTAATTCTCTTACCACTGTATTCTACTCTGCTACTGTGCACGAGGAATGGGTAAGGAACCATGATGGGTTGGTGTAAGCATTTTTAAGAGGACAAAAAAAACAAGAAAGGAAAAATTTACAAAAAATTAACTTTCGATAGGTAAAAAAGTGGTCATTGTACAGGTAGAAAAAAACACATCACCCTCTCTCCGTGCAAGCACACATAACTGCATGCCTACACATTTGCACACAGTCGTATAAACATATTTGTGTGCACGTATGGGTCGCCCCTTCAGCCAAAATTGGCGAACAACAAGTTTCGAGCCTTAAAACAAGGGTAGCCACAAAAATTCGTGCCACGCGAATTTTTTTTTTTTGTGCGGCGCTCGTTCATTTTGCATCAATCCCATTTGGTGAGCCTTCCAACACGCTTAACACAAAATGCTTCATACGAGCTGGGAATCCCTTTCCAAATGGTTCTGTCTCGTGAGTGTTCTATTTTTCCCAATACGTTGTTACTACCCCCTTCTAATCAGTGGTTCCGCTTCCCTATTGGGAAGGTTCCGTAATATGATTGGCCACCTTGTTGTCACCCGCACTCGAATCCACATCTGGTACATCATCCTTGTTATCCAAATCGATAATATCGCTGTTATTTAAAAAATCTGTATCTTCCATCTTGGAAAAGTCGTTATGACCAGATTCATTTACATGGCTCTGATTTTTTGCAAATTCTTTTGCTTTGTTCGAGATACTTTCTCCTTCTTTTTTCTTTTTGTTGGATTTCTGCCCCGCCTTGTTTTCCCCCTTTATATTATTTTGCATCGCCTGACTAGCTTCTTCATTTTTCTGAATACTGCCAAATGACTTAAGAATGTCGAAATTTTGGACATCCTTTTCCATTTCTTCATTAAATTGCTTTAGGAAAATGTTCTCCACTTTTTCATGTCCAATTTCTTTAATTTCTTCGAGGATGTTCAAATCGATTAACTTTTTTAAAGAATTATAATTTTGGGTTCTTCCCACAGTTTTTACATTGTCAAAAATGGATTCACATTTCACGGCTTCCTCATACTCTGGAAAGTACTCCGGATTTTCTTCCGGCGTTAGAATCAAAACGGGCGCGTTTGTATACACCTTATTTAGGTGTTCCTTCCACTTCAGCAATATTGTGGGTAGCAGGGATGGCTTATAAACTCTCGCAAAGAACGCGGCGTAGGCAAAGTTATTGTCACTTAGAAGGATATTTACACATTTGTTTACTTTATGAAGGAGGAAGAAGCATATAAAGGCTATGTTAAACTTGTGGTTATTTATACACATGGTTCCTAATTCCTCCAACCCTAGTTTATCACCCAATGTGGACAAAATTATTAGCAAAGAGGAAAAGTCATTTGTCTTCTTGTAACAATAAATGGCCATCGGTATGTCATTATACACTAGTGCAGTGTCCCCAAGGGCTTTATACTTATTATGAATAAATGCGTTATTTTCCTTCTGTTCCAAATCTTTTATTATATCTACACATTGTTGCAAATTTCCAATGGACAAGGACAACTCAAATTTCTTTTCCAAATCTGTACATATATTTAATGCTTCATTTTTGTAACCCATTTTTTCTAAAAACAGGCTCAATTTGTTGTACAGAGATTCAGGAATTTTTTTTAATATCAAATCGGCTGACGATAAATCCTTGTTCATTACATACTTCTGATATTGCAGGTAAGTGATTGGAAGGAAAAAACTGTGGAAGTTGTAATTCTTGTCCAGCAGAAAAATTCTATCGTACTCATATACGTACCCACAAATGTACAAATACTTATCTGTGTACGCATAAATGTCGATAAATTTTTTTGTATAAATGTACAATCTTAAATTTTTGGAAACATATAAGAAGCTATCATATATCCATATTCCGCTTTCAATCGCTTCATTAATTTCACTTTCCAGTTCAAAGTTATTTTCCTCATTTTGTGCACCATGCTTGTTATTCGCGTCGTGATCACCTCCTGATGGTGAAGCCGATAATACATTATCTTCCTTCAAGGCACCCCTACTGCCCTCTGCATTTAGGTAACTTAAAATGTATATGTTGTCCTCCGTAGTGAGAGCTACACACGTGCCAGCCTCATTCCAGTACACATTTTTCACATTAATATCAATTTTTTGGACCATGCTATAGTCATTCCAATCATAAAAGCAAATGAAATTATTAGATTTAACACCTAGGAGGTATCCCCCAAATAACTGCGATACTGCGAAGGGGGCTTGAAACGAATGGTACGAAGTAAAATCTTTGTATATGTTAATTTTATTGCCTTCTTCCTTTATCGCATAGTCCCCATTATGTGCCCACACAAAGAACGCACTTTTCCCATAAGCCTTATTCCTCAAAACTTGAGAAGTGTAAATATTAAATTCGTGGTGTCCACTCACACATATAAATCTTCCACTCGGATGAAAAGAAACATTGGTTGGGTAGAAATCACAATTACCCAACTCCTTTTTATTCACTCTGTACACATCCCCGTCATTATAATCGTCATTTTCACTTACATTCTGCAAATTGATAATATATATATCTGTGTTTTTTATGTAAATTATTTTATTTTTAAACATGGCAAAAATGGGTTTGTCTGATCCTATCTGAATAACTACTAACCCTTCATCGTATCCTATGCACAAATCATTCTTCGTTTTTTTTGCACACAAAGACCAACATCGATCCATATTATAATTTAATGTACTCTCCAATTTAAACGTTGAGCTGTTCCATATCTTCACATTATAGTCCTCCGATGAGGATACTATGATGGGTAAATTACTGTGATAAATTAAGCAAGACACATTTTGCGTATGTCCACTCAGTACCTGTATGCACTGTTTCGTGTGATAGTCCCATATGCGTATCGTTTTATCATCACTTCCACTTATTATGTAAGATGTTTCTCCACTGCACGAATAGTCAATGCAATTCACCCCTTTTGTATGACCCGTTAAGGTAAAATGGGGCTTCGTAACCACGGGGGTGTTGTTTTGCACTCCCCATATTTTTATCGTTTTATCTAAAGAAGCTGAGGCAAAAATGTACGTATCCTTAGGATTAAATTTACACATCATTACGTAGTGAATATGATTTTCAAAGGAGCATAATTTTTCGAAATTATTTTCATAATCATATAATTTTATCGTCATGTCATCTGAGCTCGTCAATACATATGGCAGAGTCTGGTGCACTTCGATATATCTTATATAATCCGTATGGTCCTCGAACGATTTTATTTTCTCAAATGTGTTGTAGTTGTAGACCCTAAGGGTCATGTCATCACCCGCACATAAAATCCATTGTTTCTTCTCAATAAATTTTGCACACCTTAAGGGGAACGCCGACACTTCTATATTTTTAATCGTGTTCTGATTTGCATAATCGAAAATTATTAACTTCCCATTGTACAGCGCCGCCAGTATCCACGTTTCCGTCTCGTGAACGTCAACGCATTTTACTTTACCAATTCGGGAATTTAGCTTTTTTTTTATATCTAGGTTGAGAGGCATATTATGTGGTGCTTGGGTGCGGGTCAAAAAAAAAAATGCTTCCGTCTGGTGACAGTTATCACAGAATGCTTGATCACAATTTCGTTCTTCTATAAACTACGTGTTGACAATTTCACACGAATAAGAGTTCTACACGTGGGGACAAACTGGTACGAAGTTTTTTGTTCTTAATCCGGGCGTTGTTTCTTAAAGTGCCATACGTTTGTACAGATAAACAATGTCTCTTTCTGTGGCGACTTTTTTTTTTTTTTGCACTATTCTTATCAGACTAGCGAATCGAATAAGGCTACAAGGCGGGTAACAGGTTAATAAATGTCCCCACACTTCTTGCAGTTGTTTCTTTCTTGCAACAGCATAACCGTGGCACGGCCAACATACAAAAAACTGTGCACAAATTGCACATACAAGAGTAGGCAACAGAGGGGGCAGTATATATTTACAATTGTATGACTCAATTTTTCAAACAGATTGGCTTATCTCTTCACTGAGCCGGTAACTCAGGCAAACGTTAATCACTGGTGGGAAGAAGCCACGCATCAATATAGGGTAAATCGAATTTTATAAAATTAAAATACCTCTTGGTACTGTTAGCACTCGTGCAGAATATGCGCCGGACTGTGGCTACCACGCCTGCGCACATAACATGTATGCCTTTGTAGTACTCTCATGCGTACTTCACGAAAGTACGTACATACATATATATATATTAATATGAATATGCTCTGCTGCGCTTTTGGAGTAACATTCCATCCAAACTGCGCAAGTGAAGCAGAAATGGGATTCAGCTACTCATAAAAAAAGGGATGACAAACTGGGGGAATGAGGGTTACCAAATCATTGCGTATGTTTTACAAAATGACCATGTACACGTGCCATTTTAAAGGTATTATTAACCTGCTTTCGCTTAGCTTCGTTCCGTTTTGTTTTATTTCATTTTCTTATTTCCATATTAGTTCAGTTTAACATTTGTGCTTTTTTTTTTTTTTTTTTTTTCTATTTTTAAAATCAGGGATATATTTTACCGTATGCGCATGTCCCTTAACTTGTCACACAACAGGAGGCGGCCGCAATTCGCGCTCGCATAAGTGCACAAACACTTTCGTAATTATTCTGCGCCGCTTCAAATAGTTATAGTGCTACCATTTTACATACACGCCGTTGCCCTTTTTGCGCAAATGTCGCATTCTAGGAAAAGCTTTTCCTGTATGGGCCATCGCAGCGGAATAAGAATTGCGCGTTCATCCGATTTGCGCAGCGTATGATACTTTTCGCGGGGCTCATTTTATTCCGTTCTGAAATTACGCCGACGGTGAACTCTCCGCATAGGACCCCTTATAAAGGGAAATAAAATAAAGGGGCTATGCAACACTGAATATATTAGAAAAAAAAACGAAAAGAAAAATGTGGGGTAGAGCAGTCCATGCAACGGGGTTGGCTAAAACTGCTTTGTGAAAAGTGAAGAAAAGTTGAAACCTTATCACTTTGATGCTTTAGCACTGGTGTCCCTTTTTCGTTGTTATTCATTCCGTTGAGTGTACCACTAGTGCAATTATTTGCGTGGTCACTGTATCTTTTTTTCACATATCGGCACAGAGGTAGCGTTGGCCCCTTTATACGCAGACGCGAGGGATGGCATACTAATGTTAAGTAAACCCAAATAAGCTACCATGTATGCTTATGTTCGTATGGATTTACCGGTGAGAAGATCCTTCCCTTTTTTTTTTTTTTTTTGCGAAGCGTCAACGAGCCACACACACACACAGCCCGTTTTGTGCTTCCCCCCAAAAAGGAAACTATGCGCAGAGTTAGCCGCAAGTCCATCCTCTCTTACCCTTGCCATTATCTATAACGTAAAATTAAAACGTCAACATATTTGAAGAGGTCGTATCATAAGGTCAGGTGTGAAAAATCACACTCTTCTTCTTTCTCTGTCGTCCTTTTTTTTTTTTTTTTTTACCATTATAAGGTGTTAAGCAAAATTGTTCCAGGTGGTGGGTCCTTTGCAGTGAACCTATTCTCAACGAAGGAACCAGACCGACCACTAACAATTTATGGTCTTCATTTCGCCATGTAGCTGTGGCGCGTGCAACTTTAAAACATGGACTGGAAAAAAAAAAAAAAAAAAAAAAAGAACACACAAAAGAGTAATAGTAAATAAATAACATAGTAGCAAGTTTGCATGAATGTATCACCCCCTTTTTTGCCATTGTTATAATACCATTTCACAAATAGGGGCCACTTAAATATGGGGTTTGTCATAATGTTTACGTCATTTTCGACCTTTTCGACGAGTTTTTACTCACATTGTTCTCACCACACGGTATCCTTGTTGAACACATGAAAACACTCAAAAACCTTTTCACTATTGGTGCAATTTTTTTCAAATGGTCAAGAAAGTACAACCGTTAGCTGCGAAGTAAAAATCTGTTCCGAGTTTTTTTTTTTTTTTTTTTTTTTTGTGAAATGCGTTTAGTGATGTATGCTCAAATTTGTATCACATTTTATCCTTTTCACATAAAAAATACGACATGATTTTTTCATAACCTAGCACATTACTCGGGAGGCTATTTTTGTGTGATGCCTAATGGCGAGTATCAATGCCTGCGTGATATATTTTCATAAAATTTGAACATAATTCTCGTACATGTCATCGCAACAGTACTTCCCTCGCGGCACACTCAAAATGGGTTTTTCATTCCTCCCGTAATTACAGCCAACTATAAATGAATTAAACAAATGAAACCTTTTCTCGCTGACGAAGCATCAGCGAGAACTCGTGTGAGGCACACAAGTATGAACGCACATCCGTACCCTATGCCTTTATCATATACATACGTATTTATGTGCGTGCGTAAATTCCATTGCCGCTTTCTCTTCATTTTACTTCTTTTAACAAAAACGTGGACGATATGTTTAAGCAAGATTTACCTGAACAGGTTTTAATTTGTTCGCCCCCAAGCCCTTGCACATTCTTGTGTTATAAATTTCTACACGAGCAAGTGTAGATATAAGAACAAATGGAAAGAGAAGAATAAAAAAACGTAATGTAAAAGGATTCCATTTTTTTCTCATGCTTTTCTTCAGCTACAAAAATAGGAACGTTTATCACCATGAGCAAATTAGACCCCTGAGTCCTTCTACATTTTGTTCCTTCGCATGTATAGATATAACAAAAACGCATAGACCTTGATGCATTCCAAACTGAATTCAAAACGGAGTGAAATAATTTAGTACGTTTTCCCCTATAAGTATACACATAGGATGGAAGCATAATCCGGTCTTTTTTTTTTTTTTTTTTTTTTTTTTTTTTCTTTTGTCACCAAAATGTGAAAAAAAAAAAAAAAAAAAACATACAGTACAATAGCAGGGGAGCAGTGAGTTAATATTAACTTTCTGCGATTTTCCTTTTTTTTAATTTATTACCTTTTGTTTTCGAGTGCATGTCCCATTACCATTTTGCTTACACGTGACACTTACGACTATTTTGGGTCTTTTTTTTTGTTGTTTTTTTTTGAGTTTCTACTTCCCCTTTTTTTGCACTTTTTCCGTATTTTCCATTATAAAATCCCCTCCCCTTTTTTGTTGTATATTTTCGGTCCATTTATTTCTGTGTGTTTGCTCATCCCCTGCGTTTGTGCGGCTTATCCATCCAGCATAGCACGCGCATTGCCTTGTATTGCCGGTTAAACAAAAATGATAAAGAGAAGTGTAACAAAATGAAACGAGCTATAGTCGAACCAAAGAGAGAAGTAATATATGCATGCATGTGTATGTACCGCACATGCATTTTAGCACTTGACATGTGTAGACACAAGAAGGGATGAGAAAAATAAAGAAATACCCCCACGAATTATGAAGGTCTGTGTTCGAAAACATTCGCCATGCACGTATGATTACACGCGCCAGGGGAATCCCAAACGGGGTGGGGAAATCACATCCACTGCTGCTACCAGCGGGAAAGTCTTCCTTTTTAATCTGTCCCCACACAATGGCATGGGACAAAAAAGCTTGTTTGATACGTCATTGGAAAACAATCCTCCTCATGAAACGCACAATCGACAACACCTGCGACAGGAGCAGACAAATCACACATCAGTAGAGCAGTTACTACGCCTTGTCCTGCTAGATTGGCTTATAGAGCGACTGATTTGTCAACTCATCCTCCACGCACTCTCAGAAGTAAAAAATCGCATGAGGAACATACTGCTCCATTGGATCAAAACGTATGTACTGTGTCTTTGTAAGCTTCTTCACTTTGCGAACACCACAGATATACGCAATCTACGTTTTGACCATGACGATGACGAAGACAGAATTATTCATCCCACCTTAGATGAACCTCCCCCCATTTACAAAAAAAAACTGACCAGTGAAGATTGTAGCAGTGGGGCATGCATCCCTCTCAGAGCGAATAAAATAACAGGAGACCATAAAAAGTATAATCTCGTTCGACAAGAAAAAAATCATTCTTCCGGACTTATTTGTTCACAACAAGCAGAAATACGCAAACGAGAGAAAATTAACCCCACTCGTCATTTTTGGATAAAGCGGAACGAGGATACAAATTTGGAAAATTCTCTAACCGTTATAAGTGCATTTTTAAAAAATAAGATTATGTCATCGCATTATAAAAATGTACAAAATAGCGACCCACATTTATATATCCATTGGATGGTGCAGAATAAATGTCATTTTATTCATAGAGCAAAAGGGAAAGGCTTGTTCTTAAAAGAGTTCCCATCATTAAGGGATATGTTACACATAATAATTATTCATAAAAGGAAGTCTCTCGTTTTTTACCTAATAGATGGAGAGATCTTCTTCTTCCTCTGTTACCTTTTGAATACCTCTCTTGCTCAAGTGAATGATTCGATTTTTTTATTTTTTGAAAGTTATCTACCTTTAGCAAATGTGTATACAACTAGACACGCCCATGGTATATGTAGCTACATAGCACATACATGGGAAGTCGGACTGTCCGCGTTGTTCTCTAAGTTGTGTTGTTTGCGGGATGGTCAAGGAAGAAGCCAAGATCCCTCTTCAGTAGAAACTAACAATCAGGAGAAAAACGGAAATCACGAAAAAAATGAACGTGTAAATAATCCCAATACGGTGAAGGAGAGATACAAACGAGATGGCGCAAAATTACGATTCACCAAAAGTAGCATTAATTACCCATGTGATGAACTCCAGGAGGAATATCCAAAGCACCCCGATAGAACACATAAGGTTAACATAAACGCATATAAAAAAAAAAAAACTGCAGCAGTTGAAAAGTTGGTAGATAAAACTAGTGCTAAGGAAACGTCTTCCACAAATAGGGGCGAAGACAAAATGCACATGAGCCAAAATAGGGATAAACAGAAGAATCCCCGTCGCACGTGCGGAAACCACGAGGGCAATTACCAACATGAGAAAAACGAAAAAGAAAACGAAAACGATAATGGCAACAAGGAGGAAAATCACAGCAGGAGAAGCGGAAACAGAAATGGTGATAACCGCAGAAGTAGCAGCAACGGGGATAGGCACAACAGCGATGACAACAACAATAATGATAGAAACGATGATGGAGTGGAGGAGGATGACGAGGATGATAATGAAAAGGAGGAAGAGGATGATGAAGAGGAAGAACAAGACGATGAGGATGGTAAGGGAAGTGGTCAGGGGGGGGAACGGGAGGCCGAGCCATCTGACGTTATCACTGAAGAGTGTGACGAAGAAAAGGGCGAGCACAATGATGCAAACGATGCATGTGGGAAGAAAAAAGGAAAAGATATCAAATTGGAAGAGGATGATGTTAAAAATGGTGCTACAGGTATGCAGAGCGATTCAAATGCAGAAGACGGAAGCGGTAATAAAGAACTGAGTGAAGGAGTCAAGGTCGACTCAGTGCAGGAAGGCAAGAACGTGTTAGATTGTCACAGTAGTGCAGGGGAGGATCGGTCTAATATCAACATTGCGCATACTTCCGCACGAAGGAGCAACGAAGTGGGGAGGTTAAATAACAAGGAAAAACAAAATAACATCAAAAAGGACATCAATGAGGAAGAAAGTAACTCCGGAGAAGACCGCAGTGGTAGCATACAAGCCAACATCAGCAGCAAGTGCAGGGGCAATGGTGTAGGTAGCGATCAACGGAATGACCAAACCGGGAAAGACGAAAAGGATGAAAAAGACCTCCGAATCATGAACAACATGCTGAAAAATCTGTCGTTCATGTCGTTCAACACGGGGTTGCTTGAATACAAAATATGCGGTGTGTGCATATACCAGAACCCACCATTTATTTCCAACCGATTGCTGCACATTCCCTATGCTTTAAAAAAAACCAATGCAGACATCATAGCGTTGCAGGAAGTATATGATGAGAAACACGTGGAGTATTTAAAGAACCACCTGTCGGCCAAATATCCATTCTGTGCGAGGGACAATTATTGTAGTGACGTCTTTAAGGAAAAATTTGGCCATGTGACTGTCGCACGGGAAGACGAATTCGATGAGAGCAATCGCCAAGATGGCAGAAACGGCTCAAGCAAAAAAACATCTAACAGTTACGAAAATGGCAAGCGAACCAGAACAAGCACCAACAACCCAAACGGAGGAAACAAAAAGGAATCGCGTAACAAAAGAAAGAAATATTTTGCCCTCCACCACGGATTACTCGTATTTAGTAAGTACCCCATTATCTACTCCTTTTTTCACGGATTCAAACACGTAACTTACCTGGAATATTTATTCGGTACAAAAGGATTCTTAGAAGTTGTCATTGATGTCCCTTTTTTTAGTTATATAACTTTGGTCAATATGCATCTAGCTAGCGGTGCCGCAGACACAGAATCTAAATATATCGAACGGGTTCGTGATTTCGAAATTAAGCAAATTATGGAAATAGCTAGAAATGCTGAGAAAAGAAATACCATCCCAATAATTATTGGAGATCTGAATGCTGCTCCCAATTTGTGTCCAAATAATTATTCCTCCTTCATTAAAAGGGGTTGGAAAGACGCTTGGCTTTATGCTAGGAATGTCAAAAAGAAGAAAACAAAACAACTCATAGCGAAGGCATTACCACACCTACACAAAAAAAAGCCGCGTACAAGTTCTCCCACCAGTTCCAACTCGTTCAGTCATTTATTCCCCGGGGTTGAAAGCAATCCCAAGAATTTGGTCACGGATGAGGCCAAACAGGACACCAAAAAGGTTCAAGGGGCAGGAAGAGAACAAAATCACACTAGTCATAATGACCAAGAGGGGGACAAAAATAATCATAAACAGAATACAATAAGCGGCATCACCAAAAAGGATAATATATACATTAACCATTCGGTGAATGCACAAAAAAGTATCTACCTTGAGAGGCCACCCTTGCATAATAAAGTGGACACAAAAAATGATGAACTGGGTAGCAACAGTTCCTTGCGTGTTTTCCCCAGTTTTAACTGCTCGGAAAATAACGACAGTATAGTTTACTCCAATTCAAGAAAAACACTCTCTAGCTTTTGCAAAAATGTTGAATCTTATGATGGCATATATCATAATGAGGGGTGCACGAACGAAAGGAAGAAATGGAATGTGGATGACAACTCCGTAGAATGCCACCCATCAGTTTGTTTAAAGTGCGCTAATTTGAAGAATCACGCAAGCGAAATGGACAAAATGAATAGGGCACTATATAAACACATGCAATTTAGGAACGGCCTTCAAAGAAGGTACTCCGGATCCGTTCCCCATGTGATCACTGCGTACAGGAGATGTGTAGTGACGACAATACCCTCTACACGGTTCCTCATTCCTAGTAAGAAAGTAGCAAAAACAGTTTCAAAAATGATCTGGAGAAGAAAAGGATATATTTTGCGCGCGAGTTACATGAGACTAAAGCCTTATCATAGAAAAGGGCGCACAAAAGGATGTCACCACAAGGAGCATATGCCCTGTGTCAAGCGAATTCTTTCCAGTGGCAAAAAGCACACGCTTATTGAAACAGTTTACAATATGAGCCCTTCACAAAGTGCCAACATTCCTTACTGTAGAATTATCTCCAATTCGAGCAGTGCCAATCGCAAGGATAACTCACCGAATGTAATTCCAGATCGACAGGGAGAAACACACATGCCCACTGATGAAATGCATTATAGGCAAATGTCCCACCTGAGTAGTAAGGGAGATGATGTGGTAGATCATCAGGAAGGAGACCGCCATCTGTTTGAATGTGTCCTCCGCGTGAACAGTGCAGAAGATGACCTTTTAGACCCCCCCATGGGGCAGCAAAATGACCCCAACTGCTGCGCAGATAAGGGAGTTAAAGGGGTGAAAAAGGAAAAACAAAGCAATATAGAAAGTTGCTCCACCTGTGATGTGTTCAAAAAGGACGACAAAATCAGCAATACCATTGTAAACCCGACATACCCTCTACGCAGCAAGAGCGATGGAGAAAATTTGATGCTCCACATGGAGGAAGACCAGGGGGAATACCAGGCCACAACAGATTTACACCACCATTATTACAGTGACCAAAATATATTCTCCAGTGACATGTCAAGTGAGAGCAACCACTCTTATACGGATCTGTATGATGATGAGGACGAGGCCAACTGGTTCAGTGATCGAAGTTCGAATGCGTCAAGGAATGACTTTCACGAAATGACTGAAATAAGTGTTCCAATCGAGGCAGAGCCCAGCCGGGTGGTCAACTGCATGACAGAACAGGCATTCGCAAATGGAGACACAATGGGAAAGACAACAGAAACGATAAAAAAAGAACTTCACACTTCGGAAAACAACCAACTGACTGATAAAAAATGCACAAAACGAGAAGACAAAATTATGACACACTGTGTACCACCTCCAGAAATGCGAGAAGAATGCAGTGGAGATGAGAAGACTCCTCTCTTTCATCCTAAAGACACTTCCCAGATAAGTATGTCGAATGGGAAGGATGATGACACCTCGACCCATTCTCAAATGCACGGAGAAAAGGATTCCACGATGAAAGGGATAATCACTTTCCATAATAATCAGTTAAATGGGCATAAGGAAAAAGTGCACCATGTGGATGAAAATTGTGAAGACAAATTGAAGACACCAAATGTTTGTTGTGCTTTTTTGAAAGAGGAATTAGCGGGGAGCGGAGAGACCCACGAGAAAGACGCGCTCATGAGTGATGTGGGTACAAGAAGGGACGACAATGACTGGAATGTGACTTATCATATGAGCAAGAATGGAGCAAATAAAAACAGTTGCCATGATAAGATGCAGAACCTACCATACACTAGTACACACCCCGCTGAAGAAAACCCCCATTTCAATACGAACAAAAAGAAGAAAAAGATTAGTAAGCTATCCAAAAAAATAAAACAAATGAAAAAAAAAATCTTTTATAACATTCTGAGGAATTACGAGAGGCACCATGATGGCGGGGTTGAAGAGAGGACGCCCTTGAAGTGCAAGCAGGGCAAGTCACAAAAGACGAAGCACGAGAGAGAAGAGAGCAACTCACGTACTCCAGAAGACTTCAAGCGAAAGGCCAAAAAAAATCATCATTGTATTTGTTCCCTGAACGAAAGAGAGTGCACCGAGAAGGTGACCAACTGCAAAGGAGAGGCAACACCAGCCGAAGATCACTCACCCATAAGTGATGTAGCCGAGTCGCTAAAAAAAGAAATAACAAATGAAAAAAGGAAAAATAACAGCGACAAATTCCTGCACTTGTCCAAAAAATGGCACAATAATAGAACTCAAAAAGCGCTGAAAAAAGACATTTTCTATTTCATTAAAAAGTTAAAATTTAAAACGACAAACAAATTAAAGCAGAAATTTCGTACATGTGCAAAAAATGTAATGGGCAGTTTAAGTGAAGAAAAGAAATTTGTGCTAAAGGGGAAATTACACAAAGGGGAACCTCAAGGGATTCACAACAAATGCCCCTTTGTCCAAAATAATTCGGACCCTCCAAGATCCTTCAGTAGCGTAAAACTGGCAGAGGATTTTATGAAAATGTGTGACTGTGCTCCGCTGTCAACAAAGGAAAGGAAGCAAAAGTGTAAAAATTATAATCGTGGAAAGGCACCAACTATGGAGGGTCCAGAAAATTACCCAAAAAGAAAAAAAGATTTCATTTTTAGAAGAAGGAAAAAAGAGCAACAGGATAGGCATCACACAATGGACAATATCAGTGAAGGAAGAGTCCCCTTCCATGATCACAATTGCTTCAATTCAAATCGAATTTCTTCTAAAAATAAAAAATGTACACATGAATGCAGTCGGGTAGAAGGCGGAGAACACAAACAGAAACATTTGCACAACAAAATGAACCTTAATATAAAAAATAAAAACTTTTTTAAAATTAGAAGCGAAGAAAACATTTCTAGTGATGAATATACATGGGATCCCCTAAACCCGCTCAATGTCATTGGCCCCCATTCCAGGTGTAACGGACTGAGGTGCGATTATATTTTCTTTCCCCCCATCAGTTACAATAATGGAAAGGGTAGCAGGGGGCGAAAGAACAGCACAAATGAAAAAGGGAAAGTTAGAAAAAAGGGAAACACAAGTGCAACAGAAAAGGATGGGTCATGTAAGATGGGTGCGGTGAAGCCCCAGTCAAGTGTACACATAAATAAAATGCGTGACGATGAGCAACTTGCAATGGGTCGGGGAAAAGCCACAAAGCGATCGAACATGTCATTTGATCCAGTTGGTTCCAATTGCGAAAGTCAGAAGTGCTCCAATTCTGTGTGGAACACGCAGAATGACATCTTCACCGAGACACGCAATGGAAAGGACAGAAAGGATGATCACCAGGCAACGGAGGAGCGATACGAAGAAACTCTCAATCTAAGAAAATATAACGACCTAAAAATTTTGAAGCACTACTATATTAAGAGTGCCAAGATACTTTTTAACGAACCCTCCGTCATGGTCCACACGTACAGGAATTACAAAAACTTCAATTGCTGTTACTCCTTTTGTATGAAGATAAAGAATGTTCATTTTGTGACAATGTCTGACCATTATGCTATTAAGATAGATTTGAGACTAAAAAAGAATCACAAGTTTGTTCGGAACAGCTAGAGGGGGGGTGATATATGTCGTGACATCTTAGCAAGCTGCGCCTCTTCTTTGTAGAGGCATTCAAATGAACAGTTGCGCTCAGGTGCTTGATTCTTGTGCCTTTTTCGAGCACGTATTTTATGCTATGATATGTTAGATGTAGTGTTCATTTGATGTTTTTTTTTTTTTTTTTTTTTTTTTTTTTTTCTCGGTCTCCCCCTCCATGTGTCCCCACCCGTATAAATCAATCCCGTCGTATGCGGGGTCCATATGCGTTTAATTAAATTTAATTTATACCTCATTAATTCGCTTCGTTTCGCGATTCTTATTATTCCAGCATCTTCATTTATTTTCATTTTATATTTATTTTTCTGGCAAACCCCATTTGCAATATGTTCTATGTAGCTTCATTGATGCTATATACCGGGTGACCATCGCACCTGCCAATTGGTTCAAATTAAATATTATTAAGTTTGAAAATTGTGCATTTTTCTTTTTTTTTTTAAATGCTCTTTAATACATTCCTTTTTGTACAGTTGTACAGTTTACACTAGCATATACATATGTGCACATGTAAGGACCACTCAACCACCTCTGTGTCTATGCTGGTGTTTTTTGTGCATGTGCTCTAACTCTCATACACCTTATTTTTTACACATATATGCATATTTCATTTTGAATTATTTAAGTAAATCACTTATAAATGCTTCAAAAGAAACAAAAATGTAAATCTCAAAGTTGACAAAATTGTTAATTAGAGGGAAAAAAAAAAATGCACAAGCAACTTCGCAGTCGACGTCTTCAAATTTGTGAATCAAACATTTGAAGTACACGGGTGTGCAAGGAGGATTTAAAAGTTACAAATGGCGACGTCACGATTTGTCGCTTTCCCAAATTGTGTGGGGAAGCGCAATTGTAGGCATAAGTAAATGCGCAGGGGAAAATATACGCTCGCGGCTTGGCGGTGTCGCAATTCTGTGCTCACAATTTACTCCAATTAGTTAACGCCAAACGGATGCACATATTTAACACTTAAAAAAAGGGAGGAGGAAAAAATGAAAAAGAGAACTGAAGCAATGATGAAGGAACATATAAGGGTCGTGTCCTGAGCTGGAAATGCAAAAAGACACACCGTGTACGAATACTCCTCGACGTATTACCACGCGGGGTCATTTCTTCTGACTTTACAGGGCCATCGTTCAAATGAGAGGAGTGAAGAGGAAAAGACATGTGGCAACAATGGACCGACCCTAACTAGATGAACACACAACACATGCTCTATATCATGCCAAGCGCAAGGTCCACACCTGCGATCCAGGGACAATCAAAATTTCTTTCTTCTGAAACCTGCTTATCGTTTCATACACCTCGGTAGGTCCTTCTTCAACGCAGTCCCTTCTTGCATCTTCATTCGATGCTTTATTCCTTTCGCTTTTTTCTCCACCTAAACGAACAGGGTTCTCCATCGGACCAACATCTCGTTTGTTATGTCCATCGGTAGAAAAACCCTCTTGGTGCAGACCTCCTCTGGGGCTTCCTCTCGATTTGCCTTCTTCAACTCGATTGAAGAAAACATCATGGATGTACAGAACATCGTAAATTTTTTGAAAGGCCTTTTTCTCATCCAGTTTTAGTACTTCGTACTTGACGCTAAATTGGGGGTTGTTTATTTTTTTTAGGATGTTGGGAATATGCAGGGTTGCTCTGTTTTGCACCGCGTGCTCCTCAATCTCTTCTTCCTCTTTCGCGGCCCCCTCCAGAGCCCTACTGCTGCTCGCCTCATTCATGCCACTCGCATTTCCTACCACCCTGTACAGCACCCCTCTCGATAAATCATACACATAGGTACTTTCCTCATATGATAAAGAAATAAATTCAAAAGTTAGATTCAGCAAGCTGTCACTGATTGACTTTTCAGTTTCTAGCAAAGGTACATAAAAGACAATTGCATTTTTCAATTTGCCATTTTCAATTGAGCTTTTTTTAAATTTACACTTGGCGTTTTCTTCTCTATTGTGATTGGCACTTGTAATTTCATCACTTCCCTCATTTATGAGCTTCATGCGGTCTGTGATCAAAGTGCTCTTTTCCACCGAGTAGCTACTCATAGGGTTACTTCCCTTGAAGGAGCTCAACATGTAGGACGTGTACGTATTTGTCTTCCATTCACACTCCGCACCAGGGTCGTCCATTTGTTCCACATCAATATAATTCTCAAATAGTATATTCAGGCAAATGTTCTCTTTTTCCCTTTTCGTTATCACTAATTCTTGAATGTAGGCTTCTGTTGGGAAACATATAAGCCCATCTCTCCTGTAGAAGTACTTCTTAATAGGTTCACCGGATTCCTCCATTTCACTTGCTTCGTGTGTACGGTGATTCGTTTCTTTTCTCTGGGGTTGATCAACAGGGTGCTTCTTTTTTTCAAAGCTGGTGGTGCACTGTGCATTGTCATCATGGGGGGTTCTTTCCTCCTCTGAGTAAAGCACACACTGTGATACACCTTTCGATGTGAGATTGTCCGCATCATTGGCATCTGCGTTGGGTGCATTCCCCACCAGTCTCTTCTCTCCTTTGTAGGCTTCGTTCAAATATACAAGGTATCTATTAAGGAGGACATTCTTCAAATGAATCTGAGCCTCGTCTGTTTTTTTTTTCTGAACATTACACTGGTCACAAATTCTCTTCAAGTCCTCATAGCTGTAATTTAACCCTTGCTCATCGTTTTCCAAAATAGTACCTAAAATTCTGTGTGTAATAATATCGATATATCTCCTTATGGGGGAGGTGAAATGAATATATTTGCTCAGTTCCAGGCCGAAGTGATGCGTCTTCTTGTCCCCTTCTGTGTAAGGAATGTATATGGCCTCCTTGTAGTGCTTCAAAATGTTGTACTGTATGCACATCAGTTGATTAGTGTCCAAAATTTTTTCGCAAATGTTTAAAATATCGTTAATGGTGCTTTTCTTTATGTCAATCATGGAGTCTATTCTGCTGTACGTGTTATGGTCAATAATTTGAAGCAGATTATTCTTTATCTCCTCGGAGGTATTTTCATGTATCCTTAGAATTCCCAATTTTTTACTTTGACTAATTTTATTAGCAACTAAAAAATTTGTTAAAATCATCATTTCTTCTATTAGCATGTGACTCTTTGCTTTGTACTCGACTTTTTGCATGCTAATATTTTCCACGTCAATTTCTTCCAGCAAGGCTTGCACTTTCTTCTTCTTCAAGAAGATCTCCATGCGCTCGTTAAGCGCGTCATCGTTAAAATGGATACTAGCGTTGCCACTAAGATTGTCTCCTCCCTCCGAATAACACTCCTCCAGTTCTTCCACCCTGACAGGCACCCCTCTATCGCGCACACAGGACCCTCCCGTGTCTGCCTCATTAAACAAAAATAACAAGGACGGCTTGCAATTGACGCTCTTCCGTCCACTCTTCTCCTTCAACATTTTGGACAACAGGAATAATCGAAAAATATCGCTTCCCAACTTGGTGCTCAGATTATATCTTTTGCACGTTGCTTCAAAATTTGCAACAAATGGGAAACAGCTTAATGGGAGGTTCCCCCTCACTAAAATATCTTCTTCCATTTCCTTTATATTGTTATTGCTCTGGTGAAGGCTGGCGTACACTTCGTCCAGGAAATCCTCAACCGTATCATAGTTCAGTTTGCGCTTGCTCTTGATTAGACTCTTCATAAATTCGACGCCCTTTTCCTTCATTGCGCTTCTGTCGCCTTCGCTCCTTTCTTCCTTTTTTCCATTTTCTCCCTTTTCGCCATTTTCGTCACTTTGCCTGATTTCCCCCTTCGAGACGCCGTAAGGATTCGACCGACTGCTCAGGCGGAAAAAGACGGAAAAGGATAACTTCTCTCCCTCTGTGTTCAGGGAACAAATTTCTTCGCTCAAAATGGAGGGGAGCATGTGTATGACCCTGCAAAGTGGTGGAATGAACAAGTGAAAAGTGCATTGGAGAACAGGTGGACAGAAGGTACTGGGGGTGAAAAGCGTTGAGATGATAAGCACACGCGAGACGAGTTTTACATCCCGCTTCACAACTTACATTAGGTCCATGTATATCGTGTTGCACACTTTGGAGGATACCCTGTCGTAGTACGAGTCAGGGGTCACGAAGAAAGATACGTCAGAAATGTGCACCCCTATTCTGTACTCAAAGTCATTTGCAGCATTCGTGTCGCCGCCAACAAATTCGATGGACAGAGCATCATCCAGATCCTTTGCACTCGGAGGGTCTATTGTAAAAATATCCAGGTTGGTAATAATTTCCCTATTTTTAAGGCAGCTTTTTAACATGTACTTTTCGATACGCTTATTATTTTCTTGTACGTTTTTCAAGTAGGCAATTTTGAGCTGATGTTCGAGAATAGGTGGAGATACTTTTCCTCGGTCTACTAATACCCCTGATGCTGCTTCCCCCTTTCCATCGCTTGCCCCATCCTGCCCTGTTGACGCACCACAATGGCGGTCGGCCAAAGCTGCCAGGACTTTGTCGCTCACCTGCATTTTGCTCCTCAAATAAGACATATCAGTCCTCTCATAAAAGTGAAAATGTATTTTGTAAAAATGGATAAAAAAATAAATCACTCCCAAAAAGTTCTTTTCATTTCCTAAAATGGTAGTAATACTTCCATATGGATTGATCTGATGTGTATCCCATGTTTTAAATTTCACCAGGACGTACAAATTTATTTTCTTTCTCTTCAAATAGTGCAAAAACATGTTTAACATGGAACTGGACGCGTCGTATATGAAGCAGGGTAATCTAGGGTCAATAGGTTGTACCTTGGCGAACAAGGGGGTGTTTTCTCTATGTCCTTTTTTGGCCGTCATCCTGGGGGGAGATGCTTCATCCTTGTTGTCATACACCATGTTACTTCCTTCCCTGTTGGGCGTTTTTACATTGGAAGGATTGCTCAACAATTTTTCACTTCTCAACTGTGGTGCATCCTTCTTGCCAAAGGTGTTATTTATGCTTTTGTTAATATTTAAATAATTCAAGGTGCACACAATTGGGCCATTCCTCCTTTCAACGACATTAACAACTCTGCAAAAATGTTCGTTTTTTTCTTCCTCCTTTTCGTTCACCGAGATGGTACTCTCTCGACTGGCCTCGAGAATTTCCTCTTCATTTTCTAAATCTCCAGATCGCTTAATTTTTCTTCTAGCCGTATAGGCATAGACAACATCTTCGTTCAGTGCCCTGTTGCGGCTGATATATCCATAAATGGTAAAAACGTCCTTTTTCAAAAAAGTCAAGGGATCTTCTTCACTAACCACAACACACTTGCTCGTATCATAAGGGGATACACATAATACTCCTTTGAATAATTTATTTTTAAAATTTTTCTCCTTATCTTTTTGTAACTCTAAAACTTTGTTTATCTTTTCGCTGTCCCAATATTGTTCATACTCCACATCGATGTAATTTTTTTCCGCTACTTCGACATCTGCTTTGGATTGCCCCTTCACATTTTTTGCCTTTTCCAATTTGGAATCAACAGGAATGTTTTCCTTATTGTCTTTCCCATTTGGTAAATCTTGGAGTAACTTATTTTTATCATTATAGGGGAGGTAAAACAACTGTTTATTTGTATGCTTTCCATTTTCCTCGTCATTCTTACAAACACTTTCTCTTTCTATCCCTTCTTCTATTATGTTTGGCATGCCGTCCATTGAATCTCCGTCTCGGTACTGATGGTCCATTCTCCCTTCTGGTCCTTCCTCCTTTTTTCCCCCCTTAGATTTATATCCCCTGGATCGCAGAGGAGGATGTGCCAAAAGTGCGCTCCTTTTTGCGGGTGAACTTTCCCCTTGTCGATCCGTACCGCCTTTAATGTACCCACTCATATGCCCATCCTTAACCTTCAAATATACATCCTTACTTTTTAAATAGTTATTTTTCACCTTCAGATATTCTTTCCCCTTGATGCTTTTGCTTTTTCCACTTTGAATGCCCCTTTGGAGGGTTAATCGTGCCGCTACTTTTTTTTCTTTCAAATTTGTGTCTCCCCTTTGGGGCCCTTTGTCCGATACACCTGTTTTGTCTTCACGTGGGGTTTCACTAAACCGGGGATGGTTTTTCTTAGGGACTTCTTTTTCACTTTCCTCCCGCGGGTGTTCCTCTAAGGGGGCACCATCCCTTGCCTCTCCTCCCTGAATAAAATCATCTGACAACCCCTCCTCATAGTCCCTCAACTTAGCATTCTTCTGTTTTATTTTTTGATACACATGTTTGTAAAACTGTTTACCTTTATCCTTGTTAATGTCCTTCAAGGAGGTACTGCATTCTTTCGTATCTTCCTGCCGCGCGGCACACGACGGTTCTGGCTCAGTTGGCCCAAACTTCCAACCCCCACATCTATCAGGAGGAGAGGCCCTCGCTTCCAACTTAACCCGCTTCACAATTTTTATATTTTCATATATTTTGGTGTAAAAACAACATCTTCTAGCATTTGTAAAAAAAAACATGTTCTACTTTTTGTCTCGTTTACACCGCCGTTTCGTATAAGTAATACCATTTTGTTTGACATGTAGATACATGTACAAGCACGCAGGGGTGTGGGGTCAAGTGTTGTTGCCTTCCTCGGGGAACTTCCTGCTGGAGTGCACTTTCAATTGTTAAGCGCGCGAAAGTCCCTTAAAAAAGGCAACGGTAACAACACAGAGGAGTAATCTCCTCAACTTGTCAAACTATTCCCTTCTCGTAGTGGTAAATATAATGGCGCCTTTTTTAATAATACGCCTTTACCATTCCACTGCTCACGCGGCGCAATACTTACAAATGCACATAGAAGGAAAACCACGCCTAGGAGAAAAACTAAAGAGGAAAAAGTGAAAAGTGCAGGGAAAAATAGAAATGCTACTTTTTTGTTCTTCCTTAATTAAAATGCTGCTTATTCCTTTTTTTGTTCCATTTTGCAGCAAACGTCACTTTCTCTGAGGACTTTTAAAAATCGCTAATTTGTGTTTGACTGTCCTAGGGTTTTACAATTTTTTTTTATTTTTTTTTTGGGGGCAATATATGGATGATATTGGTGAATTCCTTTCCCTGAACGCTTTCCACAACATAGTACAACGTTTTATATATCACTTTGTGAAATTTTTTCCTCCTGTGCGAGGGTCATTTGAACACAATTTCCGCAATGCAGTCAAGTCACGTAAACATACAAGTGGGTACATTTTTCGGAATTTTTTTTTTTTTCTGCCCATGTGTTGCGTGCATAAAGGCACATATGATGATCCTCCCACGTTAAGCGAGTGTTGTGTATTTCTGTCAATACACCACGGCAATGCACATAATTAAAACGTGTTAAATGTTGACATAATCTTTTTCTTAGCACAGACTATTGCATGTAAAAAGAAACAAAAAAAAAAAAAAATTCCCTGGGTGATAAATTTTACATGTTTCTTTTGTCACTTTTATTTTTTCCCCTGCCCCTCTCTACTGGACAAATTTTCAGTGCCTTCGCTTGTTTTCTTTTCCTATTTAACTTCCACCCGTGTTGCCCTTTTTTTTTATGTATTCCTGAAATTGGGGTACCCGCAAGTGCACATCCCACACGTCCATCTGTATGTTTTAAAAGTAAACGATGGGTAACCAAGTTTCCACGGAGGATCACATCTTTCGATTGAAATTAAAAACGAAGGAACTAGTAAACACAGAAAAAATACATACAGGACACAGTTGGCGCCTTACTACACCGCGCTTTTTCTTTTTTTTTTTTGTTTCCACACTGTATCACCACCACTGCATTCCCCCCCCAAATGCCAACCCTTTTAGGAAAAATTATCAAGCAGGTCAGAATTAGAAGAGAAAAAGCTCGTAGGCGATGTCAAAAAGGCTATACAGGCAGGGAAGATCGACATAGCAAGGTAGGTCACATTGTGAAATGGTGTGCCGCATTCATTTGCACACGTTGTGATAAATGCATATAACCTTTTAATTACACCAGTGGGAAAAATCACTAATTGCGATGGCAGTATACACCGTTTCTGTTTGTGTGTCTATTTTCTTTTAAACACTTTTCTTTTTCTTGTGAGTTGCCTTCCATTGTACCCTTCTCTGCCTTAACCCACCGTGTCTCCACTTTCCCCCATGCCGACAGGCTCTATGCAGAAAAATGCATAAGAAAAAAAAACGAAAAAATTAACTACCTCAATTTGAGTAACAAATTGGATATCCTTGTATCAAGGCTCGAGGGGGCTCACAGGTCAGCGTCGGTTAGTTTGTAGTTGATGTTAGGAGAAGCGGGCGAACAGAACGATGCCCCCGTGGGATATAAACCACCCGTCCAAACATGGGCAGAGATGGATAAGCCATCATAATGGCACATATGCGCATATCAACATTCACATACATGTGAATATATATATGCATACACGTGTGTGTGTGCACGTCGCTCTCATCCATCCTTTGCAGCTAGTTAAAGACGTAAGCATGATGATTCCGCTGATACAGAAGATAAGCACTGAGACCAATGCCATCAAAATTGGGAATGACGTGATGAAACTAGAAAACATCTTTGACGAAATTGTACGTTGTGCAGGATTAGGCAAGGGAGACACTTTAGCACCTTAGTGCATTTATAAGTCCAAATGCGCATAGCTCCGTGAGAATTCTCCAAAAATGTACTTGTTCATTTATATATATAAACCATCACTGCTTGTTCCCCCCCGCAGAGCATCAGCTCGGACCTCATAAACGATACCGTTCAGACGTCCTCTACGATCAACGCCCCCACGGAGGAGGTAAAAAAGGACCATTCATATATGCGAAGGAAAGCAAATCGCTTCACTAGTTCGTTATGTTATACATTTTTTTTTTGTTTTTCTTTCCCGCTTTTGTGCACACAGGTTGACGAATTGATCTCCAAAATAGCAGATGAGCATGCAATAACGCTAGATGGACAGCTTGGCCCCGTAAATTCAATTAATAAGGTAAAACAGCATTTTTTGTCATTTGTAAAAGGAAAAGCAAAAGGGACATAAATAAGCACAAGGCAATGCATCATGTACACGCACACACAGAACTGTAGAGCGTTATGTACACATATGTGAAGACATAGAAAGATCTTTAAAGAAATTTTTTTCGCATATAATGGTGTCATGTGTTGTGCATCCCTAATTAATCCAGTGCCTATAGGCCATCAGTGGTGTTGAGTATACAAAAAAGGATGTTAAATTCCCCCCGCCCCCCCTTATTTTATTGTATTTTTTGCAGCATTTGGAAGAAATTTCTAACATGAGCGAACGGATAAAAAATTTAAAATGACAAAAGGGAAAAAAAAAAAATTATAAGGGAGGTTCATTTTGGTCATGTCCTATACATTCCCCTCCCGCGTTCACATAGACACACATTTGTAATAAAGTACGAACGTATATCTATTTATATTTGTATGTGCCACTGCGCCTCCTTAATATAATTTTTATTTTTTAAGAACACTTAGCAGACCCAAACCCCGTGGTCCTCTCCCACATTTGTTTTTGTTCCGCGAAAGGGAAAAAAGTATGCCCAACAACATCATAGATTACATGTTAACGTAGGTGTGCACACTTTTATATACCTCCAAGTAACTCTACCTCCATTCGACAACATTTGGTTTAGTGTAAATAGCACACACAAAATTTATATACCCACTATGGGTCTATTAACATTGTAGCCTTAAATTTTTCTCTACAATTTTGTTTTATTCATACGTAAAAGGGGACACCCGTGCGAGGAAAAGTATACAGCCATTTTTTTTTTTTTTTTTTTTTTTTTTTTTTTTTGCCTGACCTGAGGAAAAAAAAAAAAAAAAAAAAAAACTCGCACACTTCCAAATATGATATTTTGTTTTTGGCCTCAAAAGGGAGTAAATCATAAACACATTCTGAATGCGCAATTCATATTGTACACAAAAAAAAAAAAAAAAAAAAAAAAAAAACGGGGGAAAAAAAAAAAAAAAAAAAAAAAGAGAGGACAAAAAGAAAACGTAATTTATGACAGTACAGTGTACTATAATAAAGTGTTAGACAAACTAGGGAAAACAGGAAATATTTTTCCAAAAATGGGGAAAAAAAGAATAAGGAAAAACACAAATTGGGATTAACGCTAGGTGGAGGTTAAAAGTGCGGCGAAGCTTACGCACAGCGTGCGCAAGAGGACCAACTAGGCGCAGTGCTACGCCTGCGCCACATACAAAACAAGGGGTCACACATGTATACAGGAAACTAAGCTGTCCACAAAATTCTTTGTCAAGGTGAATAACAAACCTTCTTCAGCGGTGCTAAATGGGATGTCTTCTCCGCTTACAAAATAATCGTTTGAGCCGATGTTTACGTAAATACTCCTGTGGGCGTAATTTTCGTGTCCACGGAAATTTTTGTTTCTTTCATTATTAGCCAAATCATTCGCATAACTATCAAATAAAATTTTCGCGTAAACAAAAAAAGGATCCTCCACTTCGTCCTGTTCCTTCCCCTTTGCATTACAATTTTTATATTCAAAAATTGTACGCAATTTTTGGCACACCATGTCGAATTTTTTCCTGTTAATTTTGGTGCACCTCAGAACGTATGATGATCTATCTGTGACGTCATTCTGGACGTAAAACTTGTACCCCTTGTTATCCTTAAATATAAGTTCGAGCAGACTTTTCTTTTGATCATTTTTAAGAAAAAAATTTTTTAAATATTCCATGTAGGTTTTATTTTTAAATAAAAAATTGATGTTTCCAAAAATGAAGGTAATGTGTGGCTGTTCATATTTTCTGTTCATTCTATTTTCCAAGAGGATGTCTGAGTTGTAGCACACGTTGAATAACCTTTTCAAATACGAATTAAATTTATTTGTATAATTGTGCACATTTAAAAGTTCCTCGGTGGACAAGTCTTCTGTTGCACGTTTAGCCGTCCTGTTCTTCTTAATCAAAGAGACGACGTCCAAATTTTTTAGGTCCTTTTTGCTTGAGGTGTAATTGTACAGAAAATGGTGCAGGTCTTCTGTGTCTACATTGTCCATTTCGTACAGGGAACACTCATCGTTCATGTCCCTTGTGCATATGTAAAATTTTTTCTCTTCTTTATCGTACACGTAGAATATGAAATAGGAGTAAGAGCTGAGGATGTAGTTCTGGTGCATGCAGGGATCGGCGGTGGGAATTCTTCCGGAGCTTCCAGAAGTGCTTCTCGACATGGAGTTGGGCGGAGCACTGGACGAGGCCGTTGCGTCCTCTGTGCCCCCCGTAGGCGAAGACTGCCCATTTTTGTAAAGCACCACGCGCTTGTCCACTCTGTAGGCGGCGGACACCACATATTTGTCCTTCCGCGCACCATCACCAGGCAGCAAATTGTCCAAAGGGGGAACCATATTCAAACGAGTCAGTGTCTTCAAGTCCACCTCTTTTATGTGCTCGAAACCCATAATGTGATAATAAGAATTTTCACTAAAAAGATTTTTGGCATACCCAGTGACAAACCAAAGACTCTCTTGCTCATTTAAATCTTTTATCTTATCGATCATGGTTTTTTCTCTCCTGAAAAAATTAATTATCCGGTTCCTTACACCACCTAATTGCTCCTTCACGTGAGAACCATCATTTTTTAACGTGCAAATAGTTGTGGGTGCATTTTTTTTTACATTTTGGGGACCACTGCTCTCCTTGTTATTATTCCCTATAAAGAGGTAGCGTCCGTGTTTTCCCCTTTGCGCTGACCTGTACACACTTTGGGGGGGAAATAACAACCCCTGCTTCTTACTCAAAAAGAATTTTTCATTTTCTGTCCTTTTTGCCTCATTACGTGGAAGAAATGGGAATATAAACAGGGGCAGAATTTTCAAATTCATAATTGTATGAGTGCGCAAGTGGGTCGCAGCGGTTGTGGAGTACAGGAAAAAAAAAGGGGTCAACAAACAAAAAAAGAAAAAAAAAAGAAAAAAGAAAACCTATGGGTGAACATCAAACATGATACAATAATGCAGCGCCAATTTGCAAAATGAATCTCACTAATTTGCGCCGCATCTATGGTTCCTCCTAAATACACATGCACAACATGAACGCAGGGATGTCGTCATGGGGGTGATGACGCACGAATCATGTTTGTGAGGAATTCCCTTCATCAGCGACGCCACGTTTATACACCCGCATAGCGTTGTTCTCGGACGATCACTTCACACGGTGGCACTTTCACAACGAGTGTATGTAAAGTTTGCAGCATTTTAAGAGCGATCTATTTTGTTCCTACTTCTGTGTGAAAGCAGCGGAGGCCGCGTTGACTCAAGCAAGTCCCCTCACGTAGCAATGAACATCTAGAGCTTGACTTGCAAAGAATGGGAGCAAATGTTCCCTAATCGTAAAACATTTCAGTCATATGTTTGCAAAGACATGTATACGTTTATGTACATAGAATCTCATATGTACATTTGAACAAAAAGGAGCGCGCTCACCCTAAGTCATTCCTTTTCCCATTTGGCAAGCACATGCACTGTAGGAAATTTCACGTTCCCTTCGCCCACAGAAAAAGGTCAAACCGATGAGCACCCTCACAACTGCGTCTTATAACAGTAAAGAAAAAAAAAAAAAAAAATCGTTCCATATGACTGTTGCATTTTCCCTGCCCCCTAATCATTTCTCCTATGCTGAAATTAAAACAATCTTTAAAAAGCTGGTACACGTCCCTCTCTTCCCTTTTTGCGCGAGCCTCATTTAAAGTGCCTCACGGGAACCTAAATATGTTTGCCGCATCGTACAAGTTATATAAACATTCACGCTAAATAATTTTAAGGTATATATATATGTATATTTTTTTCCCATGGCAAACCTTGCCATACACGTGTACATATCACCAGCATAATGCTTCTTAAAGCAGAACTGGAAACCTTCACAAATATTAATTTTTTCATCACATTGTCGTCCTCCCAAAACCAGTCATATATCGCTCATGACCTTTCTTTGAAACCGTTCCGATGAACCGTTAAAGTGAGTTAGACTCAATTTCGAAAATCCATTATGTACACGTAGAGATGATTACCTACTTCCTGCCCCAACGCAGATATCACAGTTCATCTCCTTTTAAGGCTCATCAGAGATTTAGAAAATTCAGAGCTTACATCTGCATGTCTTCATTGTTAGCTTCTTTTTTTTTTTTTGTAGGGTCCCCTATTCACGTCATTTTAGACTGTCACCAAAAATTTACAAAAAAGGGAAACATCCTTCTTCCACTTCCTCTACATGGAACGTGTTTAAATGACTCTCCTAATGATCCACCTTCGATGCTAGCTCATGTGGCCAGCATAAATAATCGATCCTAAGTATGCATACCCCTGCACACATGGAGTCCCATTTGCTCCAAATTAATTTCGAAAAAATAAATAAATAAATAAATAAAATAAAAATAAAGCAAAACTCACAATTTTGTAAATTCAAGAAAAACTACTAAAATTGTGGATGAACAATATATGCAAGAAAGGAATGCAGGTTCCCCTCCTGAATTAGCGTGACGATGACATAAGTCCGTTTTGAAGACTCAAATACGTGTGCTGCAGTGATCGGCAAAAAGCGCTCAACTATTAAACCTGCCGGGGGAAGCGGCGTAGAAGTATTGCATAGGACCACCGTTCAGATATACACCTAAGACAAACCTCAATAAAACAGAAGACACCCAAACAAAATGAGCACGACGAACGGAGAGGAATGCAAGCTGATGCACAGCTCCCCCAACAAAAAGAAGGACCTAAGCAATGGCACATGCTCATCAAAGGAAAAAGAAGCAAGCAAAAGGAAACACTCATTTAACGACTTCGAACTCGAAATTGACGATGACATTATTATCCACTTGTCTTCTCGCATATGCAATAAAAATGTTACACATAAAATACTCAAGATCAATAATTTAATAGATGACCAGTTGTATGATCACATCACGAACGGTCAGACGTCCGAGGTAAGCGAATCTAACGATGAGAGTGACACCCACGAAGGTATAGAGAGAACACAATTAAATTTACGTAATGGTTATGCGGGTTGTCAAAATGGGGATGAATCTTCAAGCAACCCCCTGTCGCACTATAATCCGGAAAGAAAGGCCATATCATCTGAACAGCTGCTGCCAACGTATGAGCTTAACAAAGACGCGCAAGGGAAGAGCAAAGAGAAAGGTAAAAATAAGGGGAAAGGGGAGCTGCATTCCGATGGCCTCACTTTCGCAGAATGCCTTGCGGAGGGGTGTACTCACTTTGACAAAATAAAAATCATGAAATTGCTGGGGGAAAATACAATTGTGTACAATACAAGGGATCATCAGAACAACGTACTGTTCCTGTGCTACGATGAAAAAAGCGAACAGTGCGATGTGTGCGATAGATACAGGACAAATTACATGTCCAATATGCATGCGTCGAGTTGTGCTCACCTGCCGGGGGGAGACTTGACAAACGCAAAGGCCATGACAAACGGGATTGCCACCACCAACGGAACTGCCGCGATGAACGCACTGAGCGACTACTTCTTCGTGCTGGGGTCGACTTCCAACTCGAGGAAATACATACTGAAGCAGAGCAGCCTCGACTTCCTCTCAGTGCGCATACACATCAATGAGAAAAAAATCGGATGCAGGAAAAGCCACGATCCCCTCACCCTAACGTCCAACATAGCAGTGGGAAAAGGATTGAAGCTACTAAACATGATTAAAAAAGATATTACACTACAAAAACAAATTAAGGATCTGAGTAAAGGTAAAAAAGTTGTGCTCTTGGTCGGAGATGAAGTCATATACTGCAACAACAAAATATATGAGAAACCAAAAAATGAAAAGGAAGCTACTAACTTCCTCAAGTCCTACAACAATAACAAATGCTATAGTTATAGTAGCATCACCTTAATCGAATTAGAAACAGAAAAAATTATCACCGGAATTGATGAATCTATTGTTAATATATATGACATGGACGATTCAGTAGTGAAGAAAATCCTTCATGATTCTTCTATATACTTTTGCGCAGGGGCATTGAAAATTGAAAATACTCACATGCACAAACATATAAAAGTTATCAAAGGAAATATTGACAGCATCTTCGGTTTGTCACTAAATCTTCTCTTCCACCTCGTGAACTTTCTGTGAAATGTGAACGTATACATTGTTCTTCGCAGATTGGTTCGTTGTTTATTTATTTTTTTTTTTTCCTTCCTTTTTTGTCCTGTTTCATCTTTTTCCCACCGTTCGAAGTGGAATTTTTTTCCCACGGTGTGTATATTGTGTTGTGCTTTTTTGCGTCTATTAATTTTGGTCGCGCGGGAATCAACAGATGGATAAGCAGGAGAACCAGCACAAGGTTCCCGTCACCTGCCTTTTCCTTCCCTTTTCGCTACGTCTAATTTTCCACCGTATAAATTTGCCATCACCACGTCTATGCGTGCATTCGATTTTGTCCAATGTTCTTCCATCACGGACGAAGGAGTAACACGAAAAAAAAAAAAACGGCTAACGGCTAATGGGAACAGCGCACCAAATTATGGCATATTTAGGATGCAACAGCAGGGGCACGAAAATGAACGAAAAAAGGAAATAAGCAAAAATTGTAAAACGTGAAAAACACAGTACGGTAGACGGACACGCCTCTCTACCAATTGGACTTCCTAGGCTCGGTACAAAACTTCACCCATGGAATGTCCTCCACCCCCTTTTTTTTGCAGTGCCTCCCTCACTGCGGGTTCACGTTTTTTTTCTTGTCCAGTACCTGTGGCGTTATGCTGGGTGCGCTCGGCGACTTGGATCTACCCTTTGCTAACAGGCTTTGAAAAAAACTGTGCAAAGATTTGTCATTTTGTTCCTTACTTGTGCCGTTCTGGTTGTTGCTTCCGTTTTTTATGGCTGCTGTCCCTCCGTTTAAGGTGACATCGATTTTTATTTTGTCACCCCCTGCGTCCGTACAATTAACATTGTTATCTCGAGCGTCATGGCGAGTACCATCACAAATATTCTCACCACCGTCGCAATTATTATCATCGCCGTCCTCATCGGCCCCACTCGCCCCGTTGGACTCCACCTGTGGGGCTAGGTTCGCCAAGAAATCGTTGAAATTAATATCAGCAACAATATTATGGCTGTGTTCTACTATGCTTTTATTTGTTATGGGCTTCACGATAATGGAGTCATAGGGCTTATTAAAATTTTCCACGAACGTATTCTGTATGGACTCGTTTATTAAGCTCTCGTCATCATAGCCTGAGGGCACAAACGCCCTTTCGTAGTCGTCCAATATGGCGTTATCACTAAAGGGAAAATTATATATACGATGCATTATGTACCTGTACAAGAGTTTCACATTTTTTCCTTCCTTATTATTCGCTGTGTTGCAAAAAATAATAGCTGCCTGGTAATTCACCGCTAGATTTCTCAGGTAGGCAATAATCACATCGATATACCCTTGATATGTTCGATTGTTTAAAATTTCATACCCGTCTGATTTGCAAATGACAAAGAATATTGGGAATGACATGTTGATTTTGATGAGTCCGTCTCGTTCTACGTTGAATGTGTTTCCCTCACTGTTTGCGCTGCTTGTGCGCTGTTTGACGTGGCCCTCAAGGGTTAAGTCTTCCATAATAGGTTGTGAGTCCCCCATAGTGGTGTCATTTTGTGGGTTCACACCAACTTGGCATTTTTTCTCCTTCTTTTTCCTCTCCAATGCGTCTTTTTTATAATTGTACACATAACTCTGCAAGCTCTCCTTCAGCTCACGGAGCACTTCTATATTGTAATCAGCATGAAGGTGCTCAAAGATCACATACAATACATCGATCCATTGATTTATGTCAGACATGATATTGTAAGGCTTGTACAAATCTGTGCATATTAGAATGACTACCTTTTTGATGTCCTTAAATTTTTTTAAATTTTTAATTAGCGAGCTCACATATGAAGAGTGCTGAAGGATCCACACGTGACTACTCCCTTTCACTTCATTTGCTTTTTTATTGTCTTCTAAATTTTTTACTCTTAAACATGCATAATCTAGTGGTAGAACTCCACCCACATTTCCGTATAGCACTTCTCCATCGTTGTTATCTCCTTGCAGTGAAATTTCTTGTAGCGATTTCACTAAAGAGGACTTTCCCACGTCCTTATTGCCAAGGATTATGATATGGCTACTCTCTAGCTCTTCGTTTTTCTCCATGTTTAATTTTTTTAGGATGTTTTGGTATATGCCTTTTGTCTCATGCGCCACATCCTCCTCTTTATGCTCCCCCTTGTCCTCCTGGTCTTCCTCTAGAGCAGCTACAGAATCAACCGCAGAACGGGCAGAAGAGGTAGAAGAGGCAAAGGTCGCATCGGCAGTGTATGAGATTTCCCAATTCGACTCATCCCTGCCAATTTCATCTCCTTCCCCCCTGCTGCCATTCTGTCGATATCGCTCCGTCAGTTCGTCCACAGTATTATGGCTCAATGGAGACACACCTTCGTCTGCGTCTTCCTTTTCCGCTTCATCTGCAGCTGCATCGTCACCTCCGACCTGTTCCTTCCCATCCTGTACATTTCCAGCCGCCATGTTACCCATTTCTGGGGATACTCCCTCATTCGCCGGTGCTTGGCTAATTTTCGATAAGCGCCTTGTCATGCTAATTTGCAGACTGTCTTCTTCTTCTCCGTCGTTATGTGCCGCTTTACCCTTTCCCTCCTCTCCACTAAATTGAGCACTGCCCGCCCCTTCCCCATCCTCAACATTTTTTTTCTCATCATATACCTTACTGTAGCTTTTTTCCTGCCCCTGGTTATACTTCTCATTGACGGAAATTTTTTCCATTTTCTTGCTGTCATCGTGGATTTTCTTTTTTAATCCTACTCCACTTTCTTCTTCATTCATGTTCACACTTGCTGCAACCTTCATAAGATTGACGCTGCTCTTGCGGGAGGTGATGCCATTGTCCTTTGTGCTTTTTGCACTCCATTTCTCCTTATAAGTATCCCTAAATTTCGCACTGGCCTTTAGACCTCCCAACTTAGTTGTGTTGCTTTTTTTCAAAATGCTCATTGATGTGTTTGATGAGTTTTTATTCTCTCGCTTCATCTTGTGATTGTCTTTAAATTAAATTTCACTTGGGAGCATGAGGGGGCTTAACTACAACAGTACATAGCACATATATCTATACACATGTGCTCAGGCATATGTATATATGCACGTATGTGTACTCTCGCACAACTGCCTAAGGCGAAGTGATGAGGCCGAACCCCTACCCCTCGCGCTGGATCAAAATGGGAAAAACGAAATGTGTCCCCCCGAACAAGCTATACTAACGCGATTGCATGAAAAAGGTAGATGGACAACCTACAAGTTACACACGTGCTCTAATTAACAAAAAAAAAAAAAAAAAAAAAAAAAATTTAATAAATCAAAGCATGGTATACAAACGTTTACTCACACATGTCCCCATTTGTATGTGTACATAACCTTGTACTTATTATGGAAAGCACGTTTACATTTTTGGAGCAAAATGTTTGTCATTTGCGTCTGATTAACGCGAGCTTAAGCATCAGCGAGTTGCTACAGCATGGTACAGAAAAAAAAAAAAAATTGTGAAGGAGTGAAAAGACGCAAGTTGGATGCTACTGCGTGGGAAAATAGGCATGGATGTTGCTACGTTGATAAGACGTTAGTGCATTTTCGTGTTTGCCTATTTGCGTAATTGTGCATGCGTATATTTATGCACACTTGCCTGTGCTCTTTTTTTTTTTTTTTTTTTTTTAAACTCCCATTTTTCCGCTCAACACAGGGGGGCATTAAATCAAAATATGCCACAGTTCCCCTCCCAAGCAGACCACTTAAGACTTTAAGCATTGACCGCAAAAAACGAAATACACTGCAAAGGGGGATAACCATATAGGTTTGCATAAATTGTGCAGGTCAGTAAATCTATACACGGATGTTCCCTTTGGTGTGGCAGGAAAGAAAATAAATAAATAAAAAATAAAATAAAAAACAGGTTACGCGATATAGGAAGAATGTGCATGCGCATTTGCTTCGAAATTGTTACTTTCCATGCGTCACAGATCTGTGTCACTGTGCTTAACGCACAAACTATAGCAAGTCCCTAGACCATACCTAGGCACGCAAAAATGCGTTTGCGCAGATGAGCCTTCCATACGCATGTCCGCAGCAACAAGCTTTATCAACCGATAAAAGTTATTTCGCCTATGGCTACATTAACATTCCATTATTTTTTTGACGCATAGGCAAATTGGCACACTTAAAACGTAAAAAACAGGGGGGACAAAAAAAAATGCTATTTGCGCTACACACTCTGATGTTAACCTTTAAACATGTGCAATAAAAAAGGGAAGAAAGTCGAAAGATCAATTCTATGCTTTTATAGATCTGTCCCATTCTCTATTTTGTTTTTACTACTTTTCCATTTTGCTGTTATGTGTGAAAAAAAAAAAAAAATTGTTAACAGGTCAGGTAAAACCATCCACCATGTGTAAGAGGATCCCATGAGAGAATGAAAAACCTTAAGCGTTGAGATTGCTCCAACGGCATAGACTTGGAAGTATATTATTTCCTGATAAGCACAATTGTAGATTTACTCATTTGGAAATGACTCTTACAGTTTTTCTCTTTCAATTTGTGAAGATTCATAACATTAGCAGAACAAAACAGAGGGTTATCCACATTTTACATTGTTCCATACCGTCACATGCAAGGCGTTTTGGCGCTAAATTTCCGCATAGGTATACATATAAAAGTACACACATAAGTAATCAGTGTTTACACATGGAGATGCGTGCACCGTGTGGGCAGTAAGTTGTCAGCGCCTTCTTCATATTTTTATCATTGTGCCATGACATGCATATCTCAACATGTTCCTCCTCTACCTCCTTTTGTTTACGCACAAAATTGTTACAGAAAAGGTGTTCACACGATTCTGTAGAACATATCACACCCCTGTCGACGCAACGCAGGAACGTAAGAGAACATAGATCAACATTTTCAGGCGGCAAAAATGGCTATCCGAAAAAACCAAAAAAACTTGCGATATTTTATTACATTTTCGGAGGAGATATTTTGTAAAGGAGAAATGAAATTAATAAAAGTGAATCATATGCGTGTATGCAACATATTTTCCCCCATTTTGCATTAAAGGTGCTCCTCATGCTCGCCTGCATGTTTATTGCAGCAATTTTTTTTTCCTTTAAAAAAGATTATCCAGGCCTATGTAGCTCTACTCTATAATTTTATCACTGTGCAAAATTGGACCTGTTTTACCGCGCATGTTTCGATCTTGTATTTTGTTTTTTTTGTTTTTTTTTTTTTGCCATACTACAACCGCGATGTTGTTCATTTTGAAGTTGTATTTTTTAATTTTATTTTTCAAATTTTTATTATGCCTTCCATTTGGTTCAGTTTTCCTATTTGTGCTAATTTTCTGCCTTTTACTTGTGTTGCCCCATTTCGTGGCCACCTTTTTACGCCGCTAGCACAGCAATATATTCACCAAACCGATGGTGCAGCAACACGGATAATTAGAAAAAAAAGGGGAAATGTGAAATGTAAAATGCATTTAAAGGGGGCGCTTGCGTTTCTTGCATTTATATTTAAGTGCAAAATAAATTGTAACCAAAACGGGAAAATAAAATAGAACGCGGGAGGCATAGATATATGTAAAATCCTATGCCAAAAAAAAATGCCAAATGAAATGAAGAATTAACTTACAGAAGAGTCCATGTGCAAAATTTTCTACAAA